TGCTGCTGCTGCTGTGCCGGCGACTGGTGCCGCATGCCCACCACAACTCCGGCCGGCAGCATGGAGTTGAGCAGCGGCTGGCCCTGTGAACACAATTGCATTAGTATTTCTTAGAGAATTTCCACGAGGTTCGAGCTCAAGTTCTACGACAGTGGGGCTGAAGCGTTTAGAGGAGGAGGAGGATTTAAAGATTTCCTACGGCATGCAACCAGTTCACGGCTGATATGATTGGGTTCGCTCTTTCACGGATCCACAGATCACAGATCGCAGATCCCAAAGGGCTAAATGTAATTTTGATGTGCAGACCAATTTGTTAGGGATTTTCGTGGCGTGTGCTTTGTCTACAAGTTGTTCTACATTAAGCGGGCGTTCAAAGCAAAAGTACTACAAATATAATGAGTTCTTACTATAACAAAATAAGCATTGACTTGGCTGGCAGGGATCGGATATGGGAGGAAAGGGAAGCAGATTTCACAGTCTCTGATGGGATTGGAGGATAAAAGCGGTCTGTAAAATCAAAATGAATGTATCCAAATATGTACGCCTAAATGTGTGTGTGTGTGTGTGCGAGTGTGTGTGTGTGTACTACATTCCGATTGGTTTCGATTTTGGAGGCAGGAATTAGGGGGAAAAAGACTTGGATGGATGTGAAAATGGGAATATAGGGGGGGGGATATAGATAAACCGGATCGGACGACTCATTCGCCTAACGCCTGTTTTCTGTTTCTGTTTGGTTTGTTTAGCTTTGATGTGGATACCTGATTGATGGTCTTGGTCATTGTTACGATTCCTGCTGGTGCACTTGATACTAGACCCGCCGGCAGGGTGACAGCATGGTGATTGGATTTAATAACTAGGGTTTGTGTTTGGGTGGCACCTACGGATTGCGTCTGCTGCTGCTGCTGGTGGGGCGACTGTTGGTGGTGCACCTGCGTCAGGCCCGGATGGTGGCCGCCAATCCCTGCCGTGATGGTCTTGATGGTTGTTGTGTTTGGTAGCTGGGCAGTCGAGATGATCGTCGGACCACCACCGCCGCCCGGATTGCCAGTTATATTGATGGTTCCATTGGGCAATTGGTTGGTGAATGTGATGCGATTGCCGGCTGCTGTTTGGCTGTTCATCGTGGAGGTTGAGGTGGAGGTGTAGGTGAATCTGAAGGAGTGGAGTGGAGTGTGTGTGTTTCTGCTGAAGGCGTATAAGGTGGCGGAGGCGTTTGAAGACCCTTTGTCGAGTGTCCCCTCTAGCAAAGATGCTGCTTCAGAGGACGTTCTGTTGCCGCCGGATTTCTCGATCAACTACTTTCGGACATCGTGTGGTTGTGGCTGCAGCAAAGGTCTATCACTCGGAACGAAGTCGCGGACACAGACTGTTGCATGCTGCGTGGCCCAAAAGCGAACTGCAAGGCAATATGGAAAGCACTTTAGTATTTATAGAAGGGCTCAGCGATCGCAGGATTTTGGGATAATTTACGCGTCTGCCGTTGCAGCTTGCTACCTGTGCCACCGTTACCTGGCGGTCATAAAACAAGCAGATGTTAAGATCCGACCAGTACCAGTACTAGCACCAGGCCCAGGCCCAGCACCTGGTGGCCAGACTCGAGAGATCACGCCGGACACTGGAGATGCACACACACACACACAGACGCAAGACACGCGCGCACACATATAGTAAATGCATTCACCTTGGCCAAAAGCCTTAGAAGCGGCCGCGGGTGCTCCGCTGACAAGCGCTTATTCACGCGGCTGCTGCTGCGCTGGCGAGCTCTCCTTCTCTCGCGGTCGCGCGTGTTATCTGACTCCTTAGCCCCGGTGGGTGGTTGCCTGGAAGATTTATCAACAATTTTTCACACACCACACGCGCTACGTCTGCCTTTGGCGTCGGGCACGGTACAATGTCGCTTTATTTTGATTATTTTGATGTACAAAAAATTTGGCAGCGACAGTAGTGCGACAACGCCGCCATTTTCACGAATGCGCGTGCAAAATAATCGTGTGGCGCGGCGTTGCCAGAAGCTGGGCTGCTGCCCGCCCAGTGTTGAACAAGAACACGTTGTCGCGATGAATTGATCTGGTCTGGCAGCGCTCAATTATCAAGATGGAAATTTAATTTGGAAATTTTAATTGTTTTATTATTCATTCTTCAAGTTCAATCGTATAGTTAACGTCATATACAAATGGTATGACGTGGTATACATTGATGCACTGAATCAGGGACATTACTGCTGGCCCAGCAAAGCCAGAAATAGAAACAAACATATGGGGCTATAATGTAAACACCGCCACCGTTGTTTAATCGAAACGAATTACTTGCACGACGAACATTAGTTTTCATGCGTGAATGGGATGGGTTTTTATTATCTTCACTAGATGAGGGACCGCTATTTGACCATCGCTACCATCGTTTTAATCACTACCATAAGTTTTAGTGATCTGAATTAGTTAGGTGCTTATGGTGCTTATGTTTGTGTGTGTGTACCGTTTTGTACAGCCTGCAGCCGTTCAACGCAATTTGTCGCCTGTTTATGATAGGCACTCACTTCAATTAATATTTCATTTTGTCTCTGTTTACACAGCGCATTTTAAACTAGAGGTGTCAAACCAAAGAGGGCACTAGATAGTATCGATATTTTACTGCTAGTCTCTACTATCGACGGTTTTGCGACTATCATGACAGTATTTAGCTACAGTCGTTGCGCTTTTGATATGTTTGGATTGGCTGCTATAAAATACGAAGACAAATTTGTAAAAAAATCGACAGGTGGCATCTAATTTTTACAATGGACAAGTTCCTAAAATGTTTCAATCGTTTTTTAATAATTATTTCAGCCCGATACTATCACGATAGTATCGACTGTTTTTTCAAAACATTCGACTTTGATATTCCTCGATATTGATATTCCGTATAATATTACCAGCTAGCTGGGACTCTCAGCCCTAAACAAATAATTTTATCCGATAGATACATAAATTTGTTAAGAGATTGGCAAGTTTTCAAAAGTCCTTTTTATTGGATTATTTACATATTAAGGTTAAAAAAAAAACAGCATAAAACGAATTTGTCGTAGTTTTGTGGCGCTGCCAGACTCGTGCAATTCGTAGTTGCTGCGGGCTGACATACCGTGATATTTTGTGATATGAAATTCGTCAATTTTGATATTCAGTTTAATATTACTAGATAGTTGGCCCTCCCAGCCGTACAAAAATAATTTTATCCGATAGATACATCAATTTTGTTCAGGATTGGTTAGTTTTTAGAACTCTTTTTCATTGGATTGTTTACATATTAAGGTTCAAACAAAAACGGCCAAAGCATAAAACTTAAATGTTGACTAAATGTAACGTCATTGTTGCTGGTCAACCAAGTTTCTTCTATGCGTATGGGCTTTGGTATACCTTATTTCCTTTAATTGATGTTAAATTTGTTGTTTCAGGCTGCTTTGAAACTTTAATATTGCATTTTCGTAAGATTGAGTTATTTTTTACCTATCTAGGCATATGTTTTGTGTTTTATACATACATTTATCCCGGTTCTGATACTTATTATTGGTACCCATGAGCTACAAAATTTCGTTGATGTCTTTTAATAAGAGACTGAGTAGTTTCTGCATTACTTGGAGCCTGAAATTACAAATAATATCTCAAGTCCATAATATCCATTTTCCCAAGGTATTCAGATTTCGTTCCAAAGTTGCACAACAATGCTGCTAATTCATTTCCCCATGTTGCTGAAATTTTTCCCATACAAATCAAATCAGCTGAGCTGAGAGAGAAAACAGAGAGAGTAAATATTTGAGGAAATAATTATTCTCTTCTTATTCTGCTTTGATTCTTTTTCGTGCATTTTTGCAGGCTTTTTACCAACAACATTAGAAAGTAAAAAATCCTCTCTTTTTCTCTCTCACAACGTATATTTTCTCTCTTTTTAGTATTTATAAAAATTTTAGTATTTTAGTTTTAGTATTTTATGCTAGTGTTGGTTAGTGTAAACATACAACAACAAAAATACCATGCAAATATATATATAAATAAATAAATATTTTATTAAATAAAATATGGGAATGCTTTCTCGGCTGTTATTTGGACATTTCGTTAGAGCAAATTTTGAAAACTCTCCACGAATTGAGAGCGAGTTTTGCAAACTCTCCACGAATTGAGAGCGAAAAATGTCAGTATTTTTGGTGCGCTAAATTGAGTTTGGCGGTCAATTTGAAATGTGTCTTAATAGTTGGAAAAATACTTTAATTTTTTTGTCGAGTGACCTCAGAAACCGAGATCCAGTAACCAGTAAATAACAAAAAAAAAATAATTAATAATTAACTCTCAACTCTCAATTAACTCTCAACCGTAAAAAAATAATTTTATTCCATTCATAAAAAGGTTCAAACAAAAACGGCCAAAACATAAAACGAATGTGACGTCGTCGTTGTTGCTGGCGCTGCCAGACTCGTGCAATTCGTAGTTGCTGCGGGCTGCCACACCATGATATTTTGCGACCCGTTTCATTACCGAATCGCTTCGAGCCGATCTGGCAGCGATGTGGCCACATCAGGAGAAAAAGATTGACTTCAGCTGTCAGGTAGCCCATTGGCTTGATCTTTCGCGGGAATTTCGAAATATTAATAAACAGTTTGATATTTTATGTCTTACATATATTATTATCCAAATATTTTGGATTTCTTTGTTGACGTCACTGCTGCTTTGGGGGAGATTACATTAATTATGCAAATCGAAAACCTGGTGAAACAGAACTCTTCTCGGAAACTCGTTGTTTGCTTTTGAATTATACTTTTTTTCGGTTCTGGCCCCGCATTGTATTTGTTGCGACGGTTATCAGTTATGTTAACAAGGCAGAGACTCGGCCAAAAACGAGTTAGGTGAATGAAAATTAATCAAAATGTTCCAGCTAATGCCACGATCGCACTTGGCGACGACGTTTGGCGCGTTGTCAGGCTGTCGGTTCAACCAGTTGGTGTGCTGGCTGGTTGTCTGAAGTTGAATTAATTTTCGTACATTTCGCATTCGCATGTGTGTATTTTAATTTTTGTTTTATTATCTAAATCCTATTTATAATGCTTACGATTAATAATGCATGAGTATTCTGCCATTATGCCGAACTAGCCGTATTACATCAATCAATAACGCGTATTTACAAGTCTTAAAAGTGTCATAGCCCCATTCCCGTCCATTGCTAAAGTCAGCTCTTTGCAGCCCATTAGTTTTTGTTCCAATTTAGATACACGTCGAAGGGGGACTTTGCCGCTCTTGATGCTATTTGGGTTGTTGGACTCTCAGGTCGCCTCGTTGTCGTTCGATTCTGGCCGAATCCGTAGGAGAAAACTGTCTTGGCTGCCACTTTGGCTTTGTTCTCCTGATATTTGGCGTAGTACGGACTGCTGGTGCTGCTGCTCTGGCTTTGACGCGTTGGTGCCGCTGTTGTGGCTTTTTTGTTCGGTACAACAGGAGCGGATGTATTTTCAAACTTAGCCTTGAATTTTTGGAAGAAAGGATGACTAAATGGATCTGCCGTGGTGGAACGCTTCGGTGCTGTTGTTGTTGTTGTCGATGTGAACAGGTACGGCCTTGGGGTGGTGCTCGAGAGAGTGTTGGCTGTGTAACGAGTTGTTGGTCTCGCTGTAGTGCGTTGGCTGGTTTTCGTTACGGCAGCATAGCGAGTTGTAGATCTCGTTGTTAATGCTGGACGAGTGCTGGTAACAGGGCGAGTTGTTGTAGCTGGACGAGTGGTGGGTCCTGTGCGATTTGTAGTTCTGGTTGAGGCAGATGGCTGAGTGCTGGTAACAGGGCGAGTTGTTGTCGTTGGACGAGTGGTGGGTTCTGTGCGATTTGTAGCTCTGGTTGTGTACCGTGTCGTATATCTGGTTGAGGCAGATGGGCGAGTTCTGGGAACGGGGCGAGTGGTTGTCGTTGGACGAGTTGTTGTAGCTGGACGAGTTGTTGTAGCTGGACGGGCTGTTGTCGTTGTGGAACGAGTCAATGGCTTAGTTACAGTTGTATAACGCGTTATAGGTCTCGCTGTTGTTGATGGGCGGGTGGTAGGCACAGTTCGCAGAGTGGTGGCTGGACGTGTTGTTGATGTGGAACGAGTGGTTGGTTTCGTTATTGCTTGGTAACGAGTAACAGGTCTTGTTGCTGTTTTCGGATTGGGCGTGCTGCTTGTGGCCGTTGAGCTACTACGTCTTGTTGTAGCTCTCGTTGGCGACGGGGGGCGTGTCGTTGTTTTAGCGGTAGTTTGCCATGCCCATGTCGCTCGCACAGTTGTTTTGGCAGTGCTCTTAGTAGTAGTTGTTGTTGTTATGGGGCGCTTTGTTGTTGTTGTTATGGGGCGCTTTGTTGTTGTTGTTATGGGACGCTTTGTTGTTGTTGTTGTTGTAGCTGAAGATGTGGCCGTAAACTTGATCACTTCATTGCGGAAGCTGTCGCTGCTGATGTATGGTCTGGTTACACGTTGTGGAGACTTCGTTGAGGCTGAGGGCTTGACTGTGGGTACGGGTACTCGAGCAGGCACGACTGGCCTTGCCAGTGCCTGGGGGTGGAGGAATGGGTTTTGGGCATAGGAGAGATTCTCATTGGGTTTTAACTGCACAGAACTCTGCAACGAAGTGGCAGACGGACGGGCTGAGCCAGGAGCCTTGAGGAAGGGATTGTGGTCGTAGTTTGGCCTTGTCGATGGAAAACTGTCTAGGCTTGCGGATGGAGTGGGCTTCTCTTTTGGAGCAGATCCCTGCGGGGTCTTCACTGCCAGTAGGTTCTGTAGAAACGGATTACCCGCATATCCATGACTGGCAGCGATCTTCTGCTGAGTCTTATCCACAATCCCCTGCTTTGGCTTCACCTGCGGCCGTTCGGCATACGGACTCGGCTTCTGCGCCTCCTCTATTTCGTTGCCATCGAAACAGTCGCTCAACATGGCCAAGCTCTGGTGTCGGCAGTGACCGCTGTAGACGGTCCAGGCATTGAAGCCATCTCCCGACAGTCGCGTGTGCTCCTCGTGAATCGTCCTGATGCACTGCACATCATCGGAGATGTCCGAGTCCAGCAGGCGGTCGCATTCAATGTGACAGGCCTTGCCTCCACCTACCACTCCGTGAGTGCACCAGTAGAGATCGCTGATCTGGAACAGACCATGATCGGCACTCCCATCCGCATTGAGGCGCCCCACGGCCGCCGTGTTGAAGGAGGACTCATGCTCGGCGATGCACACCCAGGTGGCTATATCCTGCATTGGAAATTTGTGTGAGAAATACAACTCTTGGGCTAATTCGCAGCGTTTGAAAACTTTACCCGTACCCGTACCCGTTCGGGATTTGAATGTGGCTACTGCTGTGCTTTGTGTCGACTGTGTGGAGTGTACTGGTGTTGTGCTCTGCAGATACTGATACTGCTGCCGATTGTGTGCCGTGTGCTGTGTTTGCTTGTGACTAAAGAAGGGATTGGCTGGGCTCGGGCTGCCCTTGCCGCCGAAGCCAATGGCATTGGGGTGGGGCTGCGGCGCAGCGTGGGGTGGCCTCAGGAAGGGATTGCCCTGATAGCTCACGCCCTCACGCTGGTAGCTGAGCACGGGAGGAGCTGGCTTATAGTATTGATTGGCCACAGGGCTGCTGATCTGCTGCTGGCTGCTGCCGTATTGATATGCATAGCTGACCTTGGACTTGACGGGCGATCCGTATCCCCCAATGGCATTCGGATGGCTGGCGATCACCTGTGGCTTGGCAAAGCAGGCGGCCACCTGCTCGTAGCGCTGATCCAGGCAGTTCCGCTTGTAGACAGTCCACGCATTGAAGCCGTCGCCTGAGATTTGGGTGTGCTCCTGATGGATCCTGCGTATGCACTGCACATCGTCCGATATGCTGGAGTCGAGGAACTGCTGGCACGTGGCATGGCAGCCCTTGCCCGCCCGCCGTTCGTTGGTGCACCAGAAGAGATCGCTGATCTGGAACAGTCCGTGATCGGCACTGCCATCCGCATTCAGGCGACCCACTGCCGCCGTATTGAACGAGGACTCGTGCTGGGCAATGCACACCCACGTGGGTATCTGGGGCATGGGCAGCTTGTGCTGGTAGTACAGCTCCTGGGCCAGCTCGCACCGATTGTAGATCTTTCCCTGGACGCGCTGTGCCTGTGCCTGGTAGTGGTTCGGCTTCACCTGCTGCGTGTGCTGGTAGGAGGCAGCCACCGAAAGAGCTGTTCCGACGCCACATCCGGCCACATAGGAGGCCGCATCCTGGCGACAGTACGCGCTGTGGGCCTGCCACGCGGAGAATCCATCGCCCGAGATCCTCTGGTGTTCCGCATAGATCTTGCGCACGCACAGCACATCGTCCGCGATGTCATCGTCCCGCAGGCGAGCGCAGCTCAAGCCACAGCCCGCACCCTGTCCGGGCGGCGAGCACCAGTAGACGTCGCTGATCTGGAAGAGGCCATGGGAGCCGCCTCCGGGTCCAGTGCCGCCGCCGAAGGCCGCCGTGTTCAGGTCACTCGAGTGCTGGGCAATGCACACCAGGCTCGCCACCTGCGCCGCCGGTAGGCCGTACCGATGCTGCAGCAGCCTGGCCAGCTCGCAGCGTTCGAAGATTTTGCCCGACACCCGCCCCAAGGGGCACACAGCGAGCAGGAGGAGGGGGACTAGGAGGGGCACAAGCGACTGCTTCGACATCTCGCGATGATCTGACAAACGCTCCGGATCGAGTCTCACTCTTATATAGAACACCACGCGGCAGAATCTAGAGCGTAACAGTGGAGCGCAGATGATCCTTACTTCATTTAAATTTTAAATTTCCTTTCACACGCGAAGCGTTTTTAAACGCGTTAAACGCTCCCGCTTCGGCTTTGTCTTTGTATGGGTGAGGCGTTTTTTTCAGCTTTGAGGCTGCTGCGTGCGTTTGCGCGTTTCGTTGACGACTGAACCAGCGAGCGGTCGCATCTTCAGCCTAAAGTCAATTTGAATATGACGCCGGCGACGTCTCTGACGACGACAGCGACAAACTGGTTGTGTGTGGCTGCCTGGCTGCCTGCCTGGCTATTGCATAATTACTATGACCAGAGTTTAAAAGGTTCTCCGACAGAAAGAACACCCAAAAGAATGGCAACAGCAACAGCAGCAGGCAACAGCATAAATAAAATACGAATATTAAAACCATCAAAAATAAAGTTAGAAAGTTCCGCAGTCGGTCAGGCAGTCAGCCAGCCATTAGCTGGTCATTTGGCTAATGAAATTAATTTCAAATATTTATCGGCTGAGAGAGCAGAGCCAGCCGATCCACCTGAGCAGTCCGCCAGTATTTTTCACGCGTTTTTAATCGCCTCGTAAGTCTCAATCAATCCATTGACAGTCGCGATTCGCAGCTGTCAATCAATCAACATTGCCAAAACCCCACCCAGTCCCAGTCCCAGTCCCAGCTCGGATCTCTGTCTCGCACTCGGTCTCGGGTGTCTCAATCCCAGTCGCAATCGCATTGTAAGGCAAATAAAATACCTTGGACAGCATTTGTTTATACTACAGTTCGGGGGGTGGAAATATTTCTGTTTGCATCTCGGAATTGGTCAATCGGTTCGGGCTTGGACCTGGTCTGGCCTGGGCTTTAGTTTTAGCCTTTTCGTCTGCTCTTGCCCAAGTCGAAAACTATTTTTGTTCAGCTGCCTTTTTTTTTTTTATAGCCAATTTGTGCAATATAAACTGTGTTTTAATATGCGTCTTTTGCAAATTGTGGTGCCGAAAAACTGCTGCTGATTGATTAATACTTTTAATACGCGAATTCCCCTCATTAGTGGATCTTGAACTTGAGTCACGGCCGAGCGGGGAGAGGCGGTCAGATCAAGGCTTTACAGCAAAGTGCTTTTTGTGGTCAACAACTAATGTGCGGTCCTTGGAAGAATTACTCTCAAGAAATATGCAAGCTATTCCAGGGAATACACTGCTAAGAATTGAAAGGAAAAGATCAATATCGTATTCACAATTTAATTCAACAACATTTTTAGTTTATGGTAGGTTTTTAGTAGGCTAAATCACAATACAATAGAATCACATTTAACAAATAAATTATATACAAATTCGTAAACAAAGGGTAGCACAACATAGATACATATCTTTACAAGCATTTAATAACAAGTAGCAGGTCCAGCAGCTCTAGGAGCTCTAGTAGCTCCAGCAGCTCTAGCCAGCTCTACCATCTCCCTTCAGCAGCCATTATCTCTATTTGAGAGGAGGCTCCTCGCCACGTCCTTTCTGGTAGAGATAGTAGAGCAGGCTGATGAGGGCCACGCCTACGCCCCCGCAGAGAGCCGCCCAGTGGACGATGTTGAGCGTTTTGAGTGTGTTGATTAGTTTCTTCTTGAAGAAGGCCACCATTTCCCCATTGAGTTGGATGCCCTGCAGGAGTACAGGAATACACGAGAGTTAATCTATCGAAGGTTTTGTTGGGGCTCTGTTTGCACGGGGCACTTACCTCTTCCACCCAAACGGCCGGCATGAGGACTGTGGTGAGGTTCTCGGTAATGCCTATGCGGTTGATGCTCTTGAGGAACATGTTGAACTGAACCCGCTTGCCGCCGCGCAAGGGCGTGCCCGTCAGCTAATGGAATACCAATAAATTGAGCATCCTTTACGAGTATATGGCATGCCATTCCGACTTACCGACTGCACATCGACAAAGGTCTGGTGCTTTTTGGCATCTGGCTTCAGGCCACGAATCATTTTTCTGTACTCGTTCGAGGCACCCAGCATATGCGGCAGCGTCAGTATAACAGGGGCATCTATACGAAAATAATTATTAAATACGCGTATATACGATAAAAGAGGAACATCTTCATTTGCATAACCAGCTCCTTGGGGGTGTCAATGCATTCCATTCCATTCCAATCCAATATTAATTATTCTGTTTACATTGTTGGAAAAAACAAAACAAAACGAAAAAAAAAACCACGGTACTGCCTGACCTTTACGGTGGCGAGCTACTTACATTTAATTCAATTAAATTAATTGAAAATATTTCACAGAATATATCTAGAGAGTTGCGGAAGCTTGCGGCTGAGGCTTTCGTCTCTCGTCTCACGTTTTGCCAGAAACAACAACTTTATATATATTTATTTATTTACTTAAGCACTTGGGATGGCTCTGGCGGCAAAGCCTGAACCAATTTGCAAGAATTTCCTCATCAGATATGGAACTATGTATACCAAATGCTCATTACTGAAAATGTTAACTCACGTTTCAACAATTAAACAAAAAGAAAAAAAGATGAACCCAAGCAAAGGAGGAATCACCAAAAGAATCTCAAGCTGGAAACGTGCGCGAGCGGCAAACACCCAAACAAAAAACATCACAAAAAAAAATACGAACAAGAAGGGAAGGCCATGATCGGAAGTCGAAGATCTAGCTACCCTTATACATAATGCTCCTGCGAAAACTGAGACTATTTGGCATGGCAGCAACCTCGCATTTGAATCGTAATACCCTCACTGCCTAGGGTATAGTATAAATAAGAATTGAATGCTTCAATTTGTGGAGCGTTCGTTCACTCGGGCACTCGAGAACATCATGATGAAGTGGGGCTCATTACGAGCTGTGTGCCCCCTCGTAGATTTAATTCATCTACGACTCTAAGACAACACTTTTGATTTCAAATGCGCAGTGCCCTCCCCTCCCGTGGGAGAACTGGATGCCAAATGTGAAGATAAACGTTCACGTTTGCCTTTTTTATACTCCTCTCAAACTCGAGTGTTAATTAAGAAATTAAACAATCGAAGAAGATCAAACGCAGAACGAAGCCAGCCCACACAGAATCCTCATCTTCATCTCCATCTTCATCTCTATATGTATTGAATCTAAATCAAAGTCCTAACCAAAATCGCTTGCAATTTGTCAGTTTGGGGGGCTGAGCGCGTGTGTATGGAAATCTTCCATGCTATTCAGTGTTTCGCAGATTTTTTTTTATTTCTGCTTACTTTTGTTGTACAGTTTTATTGGCGCATAATTTAAATTTGATTAGCTGCGAGTGTTGATGTTGATGCCTTTGGTTTGCACTTCTCCTCACAGAATTAGCATAGAGGTCGCATTAAACACAAACTAGAATTGGATCGCCCCCACTCAAAGCTTAATCGCTCGAGTATTGTACATTCGTTGGACAGTCTTTGCCCTTTTTTTTTTTGGGTATTTACTCGGGTAATCTGCTCGTACCCCCCACCGCCATCATCATCAGCCACAGCCACAGCCACTCGATGACAGATGGGCTGTTGGAGCGCCTTGGGGGAGTTCTTTCCTCTGTCTGAATGGCCGGTTAATCGCCATAAGACAACACACAATACAACGGCCAGACTCATTTGCATAACAACAAAAACTACAAAGCAATGAATAGCAGATAAATTGTCAAATATCATTCCAAATATTTCCGGTATCCCATCAAGTCAAACGAAAATGTTAATAAAGATCCGAGCATAGTTGCCGATATATTTTTAGGAATTATCTACCATTTGGCTGTCTGTCGGCACTGCTCCAATTAATAAGGGTACGAATTATATATGTTGCGTTCGAATGAATGAAAAATTCCATCGTTAACATTTGAGTTAAATGTTCATAATAAAAAACAAAACAAACTGTCAAATGCCTAAGCTATCGGCATAAATAAAATGCTAATTAAATTAAATCAGACTTAAATTATCGGTAAGTAGAAGCTACACAAGAAGCCATGACGGAGGGGCTAAAAAAAAAAAATAAGCGAAGTTGGTAATACTCTAGCCGATCCAATGGGGCGGGATCAGAGGGATCAGAGGAAAGGGTGACCTACAGTAGAGAGACACACACTGAATATCATCTGCAAGCTGATGGACTCACACACAAAACCCAGAGGAGCACCACAGAAGTCTCTGATCTAGTTTAATTTATGGGCATCTAATCGCATTTGGCATTAAAATTCAGCTTAGACTGTGAAATAACATGAGGAACAACAGATAGGCGAGAGATAACATATAGCTGAATCGTAAACACAAATATTTTGGAAATTCTTTGAATTAAATAGGAATAACATCGGAGTTTTCCATTGGATGTAATCTTTGAATGCTGAATTTAGGTTTACGATTGAGGAAACTATAGAGCAGGATATCTGATCGATCCACTGCCATACCACAATGTAAACTCAGCCTTCGATCTCCCACTGTGACTGTCACTCACCCAAACAGGTTGTCAGATCCAAGGCGCCCGCGTAGAGGCAACCGTTCTTTCGCTTGATCACATTCGCCAGCTTGTCCACGCAGAAGCACTCGTTGTCGTGCTCGGGCCCGATGTCGTTGATGAAGTTCTCGCCAATGGAGTAGCGGTATCCGGGAATGCCCTCGTACTGGATGTCCGCCTGGTAGAAGAGCTGCACGGACCGACAGATGTCCGCACTGAAGATGTACATGGAGTCGCCGCGCTGCCGGAACGGCGGATAGGAGGAGGCATCGGTGCCATTTATCTGATTGCAAACGGACGTCTCGCCCTCGGTGCTGGCATTCAGCCAGACCTGCAGATTGTGCGAATCATCGAGCTTCTGGATCTCCAGCACCTTCATGGCATCTCCCTTGCCCGTGTGCACCTCATAGACATCGTGACCAGAGCCGTTCTTCTACGGGGTAATATAGAAAGTTTAAAAAAGATTGTTTGGTTTCCTTCGACACGCTGATGCTCACATGACCGAAGAAGGAGAAGGCGAGGCTGCCGTCGCTCTGCTCTCGTATGGTCTTGGAGCCGCTCTCCTTGATCTGGTTGCAGATGGCCTTGGCAATGCCCTGCGGATTGATGCAGAAGCGCACTCCATCGAAGAGATACTCCCTCGCGGAGGTGTGCACGAACATGGACCGAGGATCATTGAAAACGGCCTTCAGATTGGCATTTAAGTGTACCAGGAGCAGCGCCAGTCCCGGATCGTTCTCAGAGATTTGCAAAACGGACTGAAAGAGTGTTGTGAATTCCGTAGGAATTAATTGGGCAAGTAATGAGGCAAGGCAAGGCAGGTTAAGGTAGGGTAAAGTAAGATAAAGTAAGGTAAAGTTAGGCAGGCAGGCATCAAGCATTAGCGGGTAGGCGGGGCTCTTAGCTATAAATATTGTATATCGTATATTGTTTATTTATAGCAGTAAAGCACAAGCTACAATTTGTTATTATTAATTATGTTATGTTCATATGTGTGAAAAAATTAATGTTTCCCCCCCAATCAATCGGTTTTCAGCTGCCGTTTTTTTTTGTTCCCTTGATTCTCAACGCATTTCAAATTATCGCGGCAATTTATCAAACTATTTACATAGACGAGGGAGTTCATATATCAACACGCCACAGATCGATCCACCACAAGGTGAATGCCAATCAAAATTTTGCTGTTCTATCTGTCTATCTGTCCATCTATCTGTTTGCCGTCTGTTTGTCTGTCTGTCTGTCTGTCTATTTGTCTCTCTGCCTGTCTGATGTGGATGATCTTGAGTTTGGAAGTCTGAAGTTTGATTCAATGTTACGCTTGCAAAGCTTTCGGTGGAGGTGGCTGGAGGAGGTTGGCAGGATGTTGTTTAACTTACTTTCACATCGTCAATAATGCTGATCAAGATGCCGTGAACCCAGCTAAAGGGCGCTATAAAATTGCAGTTCATTAGATAATTCATGCATTCTTATTTACATTCCTCACCTAAAAACTGTTGAAATGGGCTGGGGGGGCGGGGTCTAAGGGACGTGTTTGTTTCGCTCTGTATCATAGTTTTCACTCTCCATTTGCCCTAATTTCCCCTAACTAATGTCGCATATTTAAGTCTCATTTAAAGGCCCCCCAAAAAAAACTTCATTCGCTCCTGACCTAACCCACACCCAGAACTGTTGGGCTGCCACAATCAGCGAAAAATAAATCAACGAACCAAACCAAAAAAAAAACCATCAACTTAATTACTTCTAGAAGCTGTCGCTCGCCAGGCAATTCCCCCGATATCCGATATCCGTGACGCACGTCTGGGGTAAAATCATAATTAATAAAGCCAAAACAAACAATAAAAGATATTACGAAAGCAGAACAAAGACAAACACAGTTAAGAGATGGTATCTCGCTTATTTGCGCCATCAAAGTGCCAGTAGAAAAGCCATTACCCATTAAGTTAAACCAGAGACCCAGGGCATGTCAGTAAATGTGAGTAAATCTTTGCGCAGACCACAAACTTCTGGGTTCAGTAATGATTTAAACACTAAACTCCCGATATAGACCGATAGACCGCTATGTGTAGACCATCACCAGTGGGCAGGGGTTTCTGCTATTCTCTCGTTAAAAATTAGTAGTGAATAAAATTACTTTACGTTTCCCTCGAATACGTTCCATTAGACGTTTCAGGATACGCACGCCGGGCGTGCGATTCAGGCGGGAGTTCAGCCTATTGGCGAACCCCTGAAAGATATCTGTGATTTCTCTCTCAAACACTTGTAAAAATGCCTGCAAATTGATTATCAAAATTTTGTTTGTACATCGTTTCATGTCATTTATGTTGCATGTTTGATTTGGTTGGACTACGTTCTAGTCTCCATTTCGCTGTGTTCTGTGTTACTTACATTCATGTGCATATTGAGGGCCACAATGCGATCGTCTTGGGTGTATGGCGCCGAGGCATCCGCATCGAAGTCGAAATGGACATTCTGCACGTAGGTTATCTTGGAGCCGTCGCGTGAGAAGTGCTTCACCTTCTTGTGGCGGAACTGCCTGTGGTGTTGCAAGATCGATTAGTATTAGTATTAGATATCCGTTTCATGTCTGTGGATTTATTCTTACTTGTAGACATAGGGTCCGATTTCCTCGACTATGGGTATGGCACCGTGCTGTATCATATCGGGATTTGTCACATTGAATATGTAGACCTTGAAGTTCAGTGGCTGCGGCAGATTCACAAAGCGTTTGTACTGTTCCGAGCCATCGGCTAAAATGACACTCTATCGCGGCATGGGATAGAACAAAACGGAGTGGAGAATGTTAAGATTTACTTTAAATTCGCTGCTCAGACTATTCCTAATTAATTTTCAGTTAATTTATATGACATTTAATTCACTTTTTCTTTCCACTATGCCCAAGCTTAATTATACTTGAATTTATTAAACAACATTTTAATGTTGTTTATCACGCGTCGCAGCCTCTTATTTATGACATCTAATGACGCAGTAGTGGCCATAAAAATCAAATCAAAATCATCAACTTCCATCTCACACCGAAGCGGAGTCCGAACCTGTTTTCAGCACATCGTAATCTGTATCTCTCTTGGGGCAATGCAATTGTTATTATCTATTGTTATTGTTATTGTTATTTTTTCTTTCTTAATTATAATTATCGATGAGAGCTGAGAGAGAGCAATGACCAAGGCAATTATTTGCTTTAATTTCGCATTTCACTTAATGAAAACAAATCGCTTTTAATTCGGCCAAGTGTTCTTGGAATATATTTTAAATATATATTTCTCATGCTCAAAAAAAAAAAACAAAAAGTTTTTGTTGACCTTCCATTTTTTTTGTTTTTAATTTTTACAACTTTTTACAATTGGCAAAACATAAAATGAAGGCAACAGCAAAACAAGCTCAAAACATGACCAGCAATATAATTTTATGCGCGCCTGCCCGCCTGCCCCTCGATACTGGACACAATTGAAGAATTTTCGAAGATACATGTATGTACATCTATCCATATGGTGGTTATGACTAAAGCAGATTTCAAGGTCAATTCACAAACACATAAATATACATACGCAGCAAAGATCAGAGAAAACGTTTGAGTAGCCCTCAAGAGCAGCTGCCTGCCAACCCCAGACCCAGACCCCGACTGACCACCACTGACAATGGCCTGAAATTCATTCAGCAAATCATACAAATAATTGTTGCGAAATGGAGCAGTTTTGGCATGGCGACAAATCACAGCAAGACGTGGCTTACATTTAAATTTCGTTGAGTCTAAGAATGTGCTGGGTCAAAGAGGCGTATGCATAATATGCGTAGAGCCGCAGAAGACGCCTTTGCGGAGAGCTGCTGCGATTGTTTGGCATTGCTTGCGGGCCAAATTGCACAACACACATTTGTTGACCATCGAATCGCCACTTCAATTGCTTTGAATTTCAATTTCAATTTCGGTTTTCGGTTTTCGATTCATGACTCGTTTGTTTGTTTGTTTTGTTTTTCTTTTGTTTTTTTTTTTACTTTGGCGATTGCATTTGAATTACAAATAGAAATGGTTGACGGTTTGATGGCTTATGGTCTACTGGCTTACGGGTGGTTGCCATAAGCCATTCCATTGCAAGGACTGCGGTCCAAAATTTAAAGTTGAAGGCCCCCATTTTCGGCTGTGTTGTGCTGGCCATTCTAGATCGCATCACGCGGAAGTTCATTGCTAACAATGGGCCATAAAACAATTTTCGGGCCTAACCCTGTCCCTGTGCCTGTCCCTGTGCCTGTGCCTTGGGTGACATGGCCAAAGCCGAAGCAGAAACCACAAAAAGGGCAATTAACTTTGCGCGGCTCCAACAATTAAAATAAAGAGCAAACAGCGAAAAAGATTAAAGTTTCTGTTTGCATTCTAATTGCAATAAAAATAAAAGACAAAAGTTAAGCTCAAAGTCAACTTAAGTACTTGTACGTACTGCCTAGTTGGTTGGGGTTGGGGGTTTTGCATTGCCTTCCCTTGACAATGTTCGGCGAAGATTTCACGCTTGAATCAGCCAGCCAGCCAGCCAGCCAGCCAGCCGCCGCCGCCGACGAGCGCGTGCCCAGCGCAGGGAGCGTGAGTGGAGTCATAGTTGAGAGAATCTTCTCGCACGTTACGATCCCCTTCGCAAGAGTCACAGAGGGAAGGGCTCTTCGGCAAATCTTGTCACGTATTCGCCTTGTTCGTGACTCACAAATGAAGGGCAAACATATAGAAAAAGGGATAGATCTTATATCCAAGATACTTCCACTGAATGAGAATGAGAATTGGCTTCGTGTCACGCACTCAGCACTCGAAAATCCCCCAATGACACGCATTTCAAAATGCTCCAAATGGTCATAAATAAAATGCGTTGAGGGACAAGAACAAAAGTGTTTTGGCTCAAATGGCACGGCTAGTGCAATAATGGTTATAAAATGCATTAAACTAACGATTTAATTCATATTGCCTTGCTCAATTGCCCTGCCTTGCCTTGCATTTCAATTGCATTTTGGATTTGCATTTGGCATTTGGCATTCTGCTAAAGCGTGACCCTTGGGCATCCACGAATCTATTCTGGGCTCGCTGCGGGCTGGCCAAAGCGAATATTTCCATGTAATTATTTCATGTACATACATGGGGGGGGTAAATGGGATTGAAGTGCACTTGTTTTGGGCATCAGATTGGCTAGAGCCAGGGGCAGGGACTGCTGGGTAGTGACAGCTGCTGCTGTGTCATTCATTGACCGATGTCATTACGGATAAGCAGATTAATGTTTGGTTGCCGTGACTGTCGTCCGGTTCTGTTGTAACTATCCGATTCTGTAATCAGTTATAATTAGAATGGGTGTAGTGGATCAACAATTGACCACAGGAATCAGAGCTATGGATTGGTAGGCCAATTCCAATTCTCTGGCACTTGCTATGGCAATATATGGAAACCCATTTCCCCCCTAGTATAGACATTTAATTATAACGTAAGCTGTAAGTCAGAACTACATTATTCTGTTCCCTGAACTTTCTTTGAGTCATCAAGAGTCTGACTAACTATCCACTTGTTCTATGTACACTTCGTGGCTTCAATATTTACTCTTTAGAGTCAACAAAAGTTCCACTTGTTTGCTGTCCAGCGAGAGAATCTTTGCTAATATTTAAGGTAAAGAAACTTTTTGTCTGGCTTCCAATGGTGAGGTGAGGTAAGCAAAAGCAAATCTACAGCCTAGAGGTGGGTTGCCTCGTCATAAGTTAGGATCCCTGTCGTTGGACTCACCTGTTCTACCTTTTTGTGGACCATATTGGGAAACAGAGACCATCCGCAGTAGCCACCCAGGACCGCCACGCAGACGCCCAGGGCGCTGACGATCAGCGACCAGTGGAGCATTTTCGGTGTCGTTGATTGAAGCATCTGCAGTGATCAGATCAGAGACCCATGGGTCGCTTCGATTCTCTTTAATAAAAATAAATCTCTCTCTCTCTCTCTGTCTCTTGTTGAGTCTTCGTTTCTTCTCGAGTGTCTGCTCCCTCAAAAGCCGGCTGTATAAAAATGGAACTTTTATTTTTGATAGAGGCGAGCTTTGGCCTGACCTACGTCAAGGGAGAGCTGAGCCGAGCAGAGCAGAGCCGCTTCTTGTTGGAGTTGTTGGAATTTTTTTTGGTGTTGAGTTTGAGTTTGAGGTGTTGCTGTCGATGTTGCTGTTGTTTTTGTTTTTGTTTTTGTTGTGTGTGCCGAAACAAAGCGCACTATTTATAAGATACTCGTTTCTGGTTTTGTTGTTGTTTTGTTATATATAATTTTGAAATAAACAAGTTGCCGAATGCGAAGCGACGCTGTCGCTGTCGTTGGTTTGCTGCCGTCTTTTTATATATATATATATCTTATTATGTCTCTCGCTTGTACGAGCTATATTTAAATTATGAAAACGGGTTTGCTTGTTGTGCAGTGAAAGCTTTTTTCTGCCATCAGCTGATATAATTAAAATATTTTCTGTTAATTTTTTTTTCGCCTGGCTAATTGGGTCGCATCACAAAATTCACACACAAAAAACGCACAAGAAATACTTTTGGATGGTACGAATATGTATTGTATGGTATGGTATATGATATATGGTATATGGTCGGTCCTCCGCACTGTGGCATCGGCGAGCAAGTGACAACTGTTCGTTAATTGTGGTACATTTTTATTGGATTCTCGGCCCACACCGGACCAGCACACACACACACACACACGTACTGTACTTTATGGTACCGTTTTGGCTTGGATCTAGATGTTTAGATGGGGGTGGTCCGGCCCCTGTAACTGGGTGGAGGAGCGGTTGGGTATTTGGCTCGCGATACCATCAGCTGCACATTTGAAATAATGCCAGCACACGCGACTGGTGGGTGAATCGTGAATGGGGTGGAGGGGGGGAGGAAAACTTCCGCAATGAAAGCGAAATGAATCAACAAAAAGCACACAAATTTTCACTGTACATTCTAATTGAGTTGTTGGCGCCGCGTGGGAGTGGGAGGCAAATTTCTTAAGAGACGCGAGTGTGTGTGGAGACGAGAGATCTTTTCTTTGGCCCAACGCACCGCTCGGAACCGCCGCAAACGACTGGCAAAGTTCAGGCCAAGCTACGGGGCAGCAGCCACAGCACGGCGATGACAATGCTTTGACTTATGGCTTTCAGCAGGTTGTAGGTTTTATTTTTGGCCAAAAGCCCTGCGATCTCGCCAAGAGAGACGACACAGACAGACAGCGAGAGAGAGAGAGAGTGAGTGAGAGAGAGAGGGAGCGTGCAGGTGTGCGCACGCGCAACGTTGCAGAGAGCTTGGGGCCTAGGGCTTTTAAAAGTTAGTTGCTCGACTTTTATTTTCCTTTTTGCTTTTGTAATTTATAACACATATTTTTATTCCAGTTAAATTATGGATGGGCGGCTCATTAGCAAATTAGTGCAAGTTTTTTTTTTTTTAACATATTTTTCTACATTTTCTGACCTTTTGCAGAGGCGAGGGTATGCGTATGGGTATGATGACTTGGATGTGAAGAGAGATGCTATGGAAAAAGGGCAAATAATATTAGGTTAATAGATAATATAATATAATATAATATAATATAATATAATATAATATAATATAATATAATATAATATAATATAATATAATATAATATAATATTAGTAATAGTAGTAGATAATATTAGTAACTGGAGAGAACTGGAATGCCGCAGAGCGTAGGTAGCCCATAGCTCAGTTTTTCAGTGAAGGGTGTACGTGTACCCATTGGTAACAGATTGCGGTGGGTGTCCTATCAGATATCGACAGGGTCTAATGATGCACTTAATCCAATTGAATAGATTTGGCCAAGGATATGGATTCGGTTATTAATGGTGGCAATTTTTCAGTTCAGTTGGCAGTTTCCATTTGATATACGCGCCAGATATGTGTACAAAGTCATCCTGAAGGTCATTGGGCATTAAGGTTTTTTATTCTAACCAAAATGAATCCCTTTTGTGTCAATGGCAGGGGACAAAGTGTTCTGATACTGCCACAATCCATCTAGGAACACACATCGGTATATTGTTTGCCCTACGCCATTCTCCTGTGGGTGTCTGGATCCATTCTGGATCTGGATTCATTCTCCTTACTTAATTACCATCTCAGTGTTTGCATTGAATCATTCTTCCCCAGCGGAAGCTCAGCCCTTTCCACTGAAAGCTCTTCCAAACTCAAGCTTGCTCTTTCCACCCCAGGTCTATGTCTCTTCCCAAAAAAAACTCTCTTTTATTTCTCTTTTGAAGCTCGCGTGGGTGCACTGTGGCACAGTTGTTGCTGTTGCTGTTGCTGCTGTTATTTTTTTTGGCCAAACGCATTAACAGGTTTTTCGTTATTCGGTTTTCGGTTTTCTGTGCGTGCCATGAAATTTATATGTAAAAACTTGTAAGCCGAAGCGAAGCGATTGAATGGAGCTGCGGGTGAAGCTTTTGTTGAACTTGACACGATTGTTGTCTGCCCCGTTGCCCATTGAATTGTTGTTGTTGTTTTGTGGTTGTTTTTGTGGTTGTTTTTGTGGTTGTGGTTCACTTTGTTGCTGCTCTGCTGCTAATATAAATTGCTTTTCGCTTCGGCTAAGGCGGGATGTTGTTTAGTTTGTTGCTGGAATCTCGATGGTTGTGCAAAAATGTAAAGCTTTAAATATTAAATAAATGCAAATAAATAAAAAACAATTTAAACGGTGGGTAAGAAAAGGGGGGGGGGAGACAAAAATCACAAGAGACGAAGACTGAGGACTGAAGAGAGTGAAAGAAAAAACATAGAGAACGTGGCAACAATTGTGATGATGGGCTGAGCTGGCGCATCAGTAGTTTGATGCACTACAAAGTATCTTTTAAGGGTCCATAAAGCACAGGGAAAGTATCTGCTAAGGATCAACTAAGCTGCTGTCTGAAGCACTTCAGGCCAAGTAACTTTTAAAGTGCCCATAAAGAGAAGGGCCCAGTGTGTTCCATTCGAACGCCAAGCACTTAAACGTATGGCCTTAATTCAGCCACAAACTAGTCGCCAGGAAAGGTACGAGTATTCCTGCAGAGCATCAGGATTATAAATTCTGTAGCAGTCCTACAAATTGTAAATATATTCCAATTATTATATAGACATGCACGAAGGTGCATGCATCTTTCGTACTTAATTCTTAATGAATCTAAAAGAAATTCCCTTGCCAATTTTTAAGCATGCCTCCTGCCCCCCCTCGGCCACTCTAACTCACTCGACACCCATTTCAATTTCTTTGCAACATTTCTCTTAATTATTTTGTAGTACGATTCACATTTAGCCTAGTTTCTCAAGAGAGCTCTCTCCACTCCACTCCACTCCGCTCTGCTCTTCTTGGTCCGCCTCTGGAGGATTCGTTTCCCATTTGCGTGCTGCATGTGGATATAGTAATTTAAATATTTATTGCATTTTTTCATGTATGCAACACTTGTGGGCACAAACACATGCCGCTGGAGCAGAGTGCTTGCCTTTGTCTGACCTCAAAATTAAATTCAAATCTCGGGCAAAAGGCACAACTTGGCAGAAGGCAGAAGGATCTGGGCTCCGGGCTCTGTTCTTATTTTTCTTTGGTAAATTGTGTGTGTGTGTGTGTTTTGTTTGTGTGTCTGTTGCAATGCAATCGAATATAAAAAAAGAAACTTCACACGACATAAGTCGGGTGCAAAAGGAACAATCCGCAGTAACACGAACTGATGGTCTGACAGCTAGCTGCTCCTGCTCCTCCTTCGCCTTTTGCATTGATGGCGTGCTTGGGCAATGGCAATTTATAGATAATTTGATACGAGACGTCAGTCAGTCAGTCAGACAGACAGACAGACAGCCAGCTAGTGCCCCAATGTGGCACAAGGACATGGACTTGGATGGCGTGGGCCGAATAATCGCTGATTCGAATGCATTTCTAACGAATTCTCATTAGCCAACAAATTGGAACTGAATATTTGAAGAACTGAAATGAGAGTGAAGTGAGTGGAAATTATATCTTCGCACGTTCCACATGTGGCAGTGGAGGGAGGGGCGCTTGGCTTTCCCCACAGTTGTGGCAATTAAATGGATTAAGCGAGGAGGAGCCAGGCATAAGTCAAATGAGGCCAACAGAAGAAGGTTTTGCCGCCTCTGGCCTTTGCTTTGGTTCACGCTCTCTCTCCCTCTCTCCCCTCTCTCCTCTCTCTCTCTCTCTGTCTCTCTTCCGTTTTCCCTCTACCATTTTGTGGCGTTTTGTTGGGCCAACAATGAGCCGTAGGCAGTCCCAACATGGCTGGAAGAGAGCGGCTCCGCCGTGTAGGATTCAGCCACTCGACCGCTTATCGTCAACTGTCATCGTCTGGCAGCTCTTCTGGCACCCTGGCACACCATTCTCTGTCGTCCGTCATTCTGGGCTACCCTCTATGAGTGCTGCCCCGCTTCAAGGGGGCATGGACATCAGTTTGCATTGTTGCAGCAAATGTGAGCGACCGATTGATGAGCATTTGACGTCCATGCCCCTGCCCCTGCCCTCTGTCCTCTGTATGTTGTGTGTGTGTGTGTGTGTGTGCTCCTGGCTGAAACTGTGTCAAATAAGTGCTAAAAGATTTATGCCCTGCCCTGTCTGCATGCCTCCCTGTCTATTGCTCTCAATAAGTGGCACAAACGACAGGAGCTCACCGCAGGCTTAAGTGTCTCCAACAGCTAGAGAGGACAGACAGCACTAGCACACACATACCACTGCACAGCTGTCTTTATGCATACCCTTGCTCGTCTCTCCTCTGCTGCAGTTTTTACGGCTTTGGTTTCCTGCTTTACTGCTGCTGGCTGCTTGCTGCTTGATGCCTTCTGGCACCCATGGGTAATTTGAGCTTGAATTCGGTTCTACCATTTCCATTTCCATTTTAACTTGATCTGAACTCGTATCTGGGCTCTGGGATTAGCCAGTGCGTAGAGGTACACAAGAGTGCTGGCCAAATGGGCCAGCAAAGTGAATTGTGTTGCTGGCACAGACACAGACACTCTGCCATGGATTATGCAACTTCATTAAGGGATGTAAGCGAAGAGCAGCCGAGAGATTGCTAGTTTGTTAATTATCTATCCTACATCTATCTATCCCACTTCCAAGTGCCAATATTGCATGTAGATTACTTTCCTTGCCCAACTTTCACACCTGAATGGTCTGCAATCAGCTTCAACTTCCCACCCATCCTTACTTTATATATATAGTACATATATAACAGCAATCAATTGCTCATCATTATATACCCATGAAGACGCTAAACGAGCCAAAACTCAATTGATTTGGCTAACAGTTTGCAAGCACGCAGCCTTCGCACAGCCACCCCATCCACAGTCAATGAATTATTGCGCATTAAGATTTTGCGCCCCAAACCACTCGCAGCCACACACAGACTCTCTCACTCGCATACAGATGCATTGGGCCGCCCACAGTGCTGCAGGCAGGCTCTGACAGCAACAATGTTGTGTCCTTCGCCGTTGCCGCTGTCGTTGCCGTTGCAATCCAGGGACACGCTGCAGACACGCTGGAGGCCAAAACGGAGGCAAACGCCAACTAATGACAATAACGCGCGAAAAGGGAAAAAACCCCACAATGAGCACGAAACCCCCTACAACCCTATCCCCCGTCCCTGGTACTGAGGTGGCACCTCCTCGCAATATCACGCATACGTCGCGTTGAACACAGCGAAATCAAAACATAAACCCAAATCCAAATCCAGTCGTTGCAGCGGCAATTGGCAGAAAGAAGGAGAAGGTTCGTCGACTGCATCGGGTTTTCCTGAGCGCGTGACCAAAACACAGCCGAGAGACAGAGCAACCGCTCGGGCAGAGTGGCAGAGAGACACGACGCGACTCTCGCTCTCTCTCTCTCTCTCTCTCACTGGCTGTGTGTGTACGAAGGAGTTTCCACATCATCATCATCAACATAAATGCGACGTCGGGCCTGGCCTGGCCTCGTCTGGTTTGATGGCAAGTGCATTTTCCTGCTGCGTTCAGTTCTGTTTCTGTTTCGTGTCCGTGCAGTCGGAGCCCTGTCGAGCCGCAGAGCCGCACAGTGCACTTTTGCCTTAGATAAAACCAAATACAATCCGCATTAGCGAACAATAAATAGCAACAAATAATACTCCAAGCGCATCTCCGTCTGCATTTGTGTATCCGTATCCGTGTGTGTGTGTGTGTGTGTGCATTTCCAGGGGGGTAGGGAGATTAATCCCCACTGACAGGGCCAGTGCCAGTGCCAGTGCCCCCATCGACATCGCCGTCGCCATCGCTGCAGCATAGATACCTACATTTCGGTGGGTGGGAGCGCAGAGTGGGAGAGCGAGAGCGAGCGAGAGAGCTGGAAAAGTGAAAACGTGAAAAAAGCATTGAATAAAGAAACGTAGCCCAGCACCGAGTATACGGAGAACGGAACCATGTCGACGCTTCCCTTTCTGCTGAGCGTCGCCGACGAGCTGGACAACATCCACACGCAGTCGTACTTGGACGACTTTGGCCTGGGATTCCATCCGCATCGCCAGTACTATCGCTCCCCGACCATCCAGCTCTCACTGCCAGCCAGTGCGGAATGGACTGGACGCGGCGGCGGCGGCGGCGGCGGCGCCTGGGACCAGGGCCGGCACAGTCGCTACAGGAGCTACAAGTTCTACGACGAGTCGCAGAACAACTTCGCCGAGGAGGAGCAGCCCGAGGAGGAGGAGGAGGCTGCGGCGTACCATGCGCATCACGAGCACCAGGAATTGCCAGAGAGCGTACAGCTGCATCCAGAGACCTCCGTTGCCGCTTTGGCCGGCAAGGCCAAAGGACAGCCACAGCCACAGCCGCCAGTCAGTCAGTGTCAGTTGGCCACTGCCAGAAGGGGCCTGGGCATGGTCATCTCCAAGTCCCACGACGTGGGTGTGGGCGGCCTGGGGCTCAACCTGAGGGCCGGCGAGGAGGAGGACGACGAGAACATCGATCGCACCGTTCGCATGTACAATCTGTCCAAGAAATGCTGCAAGAACTACTATCGCCACGCGCTGGAGACCGGGCCGGGTGCCAGCGGCCAGCGGATCAAGTGCAGCAACTTGCGCTCGGAGAGCCACCAGTCGAGCTCCAGCTCGGAGGAGAGCCTCCGCAAGATGCCCTCGCCCATTGAGTTTCTCACGTGCTTCCTGGTGAAGAAGTCCCGGACCCCCAAGTGCGGCCACTCCGGCCATTCGGCGTGCACCGGCCAGCAGCTGAGGAAATCATAGAACACGGCCCGGCTGCTGCCTGCTGCTGCCCCGCTCTCGGCCAGAACCTCGTCGCTGACATCATCGACCAGTATGACCATGGGCACGGGTACAGTCACTGGCAGCGGCAGCGGCACGGGCACGGGCACGGGTACGGGCACGGGTACAGGCACAGCCACGACGACGACAAAGCGGCGTAGCCAGTGCTTTTGAATGTGGGCCGGAGTCGGTGTCGTGTGTGGCCAGGCCTGGAGCTGGCTGCAGCGCTGCGGGGAGCTGCCCAGCACGGAGCCCACAACGCTGCCAGTCAGGCGTCTGGGCAGGATCGGCTACTAGGGGGCGAACCGACTCGAGGCTAGAAGCTGCAGGGAATCCAAGGGAAGCGCAACACGCAGTTTTAATTGGTTTTTATGTGGGGCGTGGGGGCAAAGGGTTAGCCGAAGCTCTTGCCCCAACAAACTCGCAAGCAAATACAGGCCAAAAACAAAAGCAAATCGATGCTTGCAGCAAATGGAAATAAATATAAATTCAAAACTTATACGAGTGTACACACATTAATACAAAACAATATTAAATATTAAATGTAGCTGTAAGCAAGGCAAAAAACTAAAATATAATAATATAAAAATGCAACACCGATCAATTTTAGCAAACCCAAAGACACACCACACACAATTTTGAATGCCAGATTTATACGAGTAGCAGGGAGAAACGATACGAAAACGAAAACGAAACGAAACAAACAATTTGTTAAGCAAACATTTTTATACGGATTTTTTTATACCAAGCAAAAGAGATATAACTTATATACGGATATTACAAATACAAAAACCAAAAACCAAAAACACAAAACACTGAACAATGGGCGGGGCGGGGTGTTCAGCGGGCAAGTACAGAGCTAGCAGAGAGATATTTGAGCTGATGGAGAATTGATTTGAAAACGCCCATTTTGATTGGAGTTTAACGAAAACGAAAGGGATTCTCGTTCTTCCTTTTGATTCCCTGAAACGTTTGTGTGCATTTGTCTATGTAGGTTTTAGTTCAGCTTCAAGTTTTTGTACAATTTTATACGAGCTGTTTGCTGGCCTTTGATAGCAAAAAATAAAAGCCGGTCTGCACTCGCACACGGACACGGCCACGGACACAGACACAATACCAATAACAATATTAATGCAAGGGCAGTGTTTCATTTTCACACACACACACACAAACACACACTGGAGGAAAGTTAGTTTTTCTCTCAATATTTTCCAGTGAAATGAAAATGAAACACACACAAAACAAAAAAAATGTTGCAGCAAAGCTTGGGAAACTTTTCCACAATGTCGGCGAGTGTTTGGGGGCTAAAGCTAGAGGGATAGGGATAGAGATGGGGATCGGGGGAGGTACTATGAAAAAGTGAAACATGATTTCAATTTCCTCCTTTTTTGTGGGGGGGGGGAGTGTGGGGTCTGTAAGCAAGTCAATGGCAAACTACGACTAAGGACAGAAAGGACCTTGGTCCCAATTTCAAATTAGTGAAATGAAAAATAAACCAAAAAGGGCAAGTTGAAAGTTTTTTAAGGGAAGTGTTAGGGCTTGCGGGGGCATACAGATATCAGATATACATATAAGATATATACATACATACACACACACACATATATATATATATATATATATATTTATAGTTTTGTAGTCAAGATATTCTTCTCAAACAAGAAACAAGAAAAAACAAATATATTTGCGTGTTCTAAATGTATTTGAAATGTTGCAAGAATAATAATACTTGCCAATGTGCTAGGACGAGTACAACTAATCAGCAAGAACAGAAATCGGAACATTTTATAGATGTATGTATATTAACGCCACACTGTTTGCACTTTTTCAGAGTTTAGAACCAAACACACACACACACACACACACATTATATATGTACTATATATGTACGAGTGTCTATGTATATCGCCAGACATAAACTTAAAGTTTACACCACTCTCATAGCTTTAACACAGAACACCACAGAACAACTTCATATCTGTCAGATAAACGTAGTACTTAAGAGCTAACCAACAAAACAGAAAACACAAAACCGATAGACGAAAGCCGAAAAGTATTCGACAAACAAATGTTAATGGAAATTAATTAGCTGTAGCGTTTTGCCAGTGGCTCTTGAAATACACCACACACACACACACACACACACACACACACACATTTTTATGTAGTTGCAAATACATTTGAACATTGTTAGAACGTGTGTGTTAGGCCAATTCCTGGCATCAATCATACTAGGCATACCTCTAACCGGAAATACTAAACCCAAAATACTTTTAGATGTTCCGTTCCATGGCATAACATACATACCTCAGGGATAGAAGTATATGTGCATTGATATTACTTACAAAAAACTATTAAAAACAAAGAGAATGATTTAAACCTTTTTTTATATATATAGTAAAGGAATATATTAACAAAAAAATAACAATATTATTTTCATAAACTTTAAGAATAACTGAATATTAAATGAATAACTTTCCATTCATATGAAATAAGTACGAGTATATGTGCATTCTAAATGAAAATTAAAAATACTAATGAAATTATTTTTTAGTTTAATTTTTATTTTTGCTTATTAATAGTTTATATGCTTTCCCTTTTTAGTGAAAATTTGATTTATCCGGGTGGGCATTGAGGTTGCCAAGTTTTTAAGAATTGTAGGGTTAATTTAAATATAGTTAAATATAAGCAAATTAAAAAGTGCACAATACTTCTTTCCCTGAGGTACTTATATATATGTACCTCTCTACTCGACAAAGAAATCACTCACGCAACGCATATCATTCCCATAGAATAGATTTCAGCTAAATCGTATTCAACTTGAGATTCAATAAATAAAGTATATACAAAATGGAAAATGGAAGTGTCTAGCATTGGGTGGGTGATGGCTGCACCATCTGACACTGGAATAAATGTCCCAATTTCAGCCTTGTGCAAGAGCCTTGCCAAACCTTCAGAGCTACGAGTATCTGCCATATGGAAACTCCTTTCCTTCCTTCCTTCTGCACTTCAGCCTTGGCCGACAGACACAAAGACAGACTGAGCACTGAGCACTGAGAGACACACACAAGCATATTACGCGTCCTTCACACATTACATTGTCGCTGGCATTAATTTTAGTGTCTTGGCGGGCACACAAAACAGCTCAGACTCGGTGCTGTCCAAAGGCACATTTCAATATTTTCAAGTGCAAGGAAAAAAATGTGCTTGTCGTTAAATGCTGAACTGCTGACCTTTGGCTCTGTTGTCTCTGCTGGTGTGTGACTCATAAGCGACACACGAAGCGGAGTGCGGAATGTGCCAGCCAGGAATGTCCTCAAGCGGTGTGCATCTTGTCCAAGGATGTGTCGCTCGAGTTTTTACACTCTCGCAATTCCAAATGAACTGCTGGAGAAAGACAGGAAACGGCAGGAGGCCTGCGTCAGCCCTGTGCACTTTCCATTTCTGTGTGTTGGCCAGCACTTTGTGTCTACAATTGGGTTCAATAGCACAAAACAAAACAAAACAAAACAAAAATAGACTAATAGGCCGGGCAACTCATGCCCCATGCCCCATGCGCCATGCCACTCGTACAAATATAGCTCTCATTCGTATGCAAACAAGTGCAGCGTCAGAGCGTCAGAAAGCCTTCGGGGGCGTGTCCATGGGGCCAGAGTTGTGGACTGGCTTTAGGTTTTCTTGTTTGTTTCTCTGCTGAAGGTTGCCCTGCGGGTATGTTGGGTATCTTGTGGGGAATGAGTGCGTCTAGAGGCATGCAATGCGGATGCATCTTTCACGAATAAATAGGTGAAGGAAGTGGGTAAATATATTTGAAAGGGTTGCTGGTTCTGTGGGAATGTGCGACTGTGTCGCAATGTCTCCCAAGCTGTTGCTTCAACTGCTTACTTTCTCTCTCCCTCTCTCTCTGTCTCAGAAAGAGTATCTCAAATGTTACATCGTCTCAGTTTCTGACCCATTCTGTGGGCTCCTTCATGCGCTTTCATTGGGGCAACTTTGAGACTCTGCTGCTGCCGGCCTTACAACTATTATTGTGGCTGTCTTTTGGGTGCTCCTCTTCGTTGCTCGTTGCAGTGTTCACTTCGCATGGCCAATTACAGTTTTAAGTTGCCTGCTCTCCTCCTGAACTCTTCGCCCTGACCTGTCTCGTTCCCGTACCCTCTTGTCCCGTCTTCGACTTGAACTTTTGCTTTCATTTTGCTTTCATTTTGCTGTTGGGTATTCTTTGTATGGCTGTGGAGCTGGCGCTGTCGCTGGCGTCGCATTGCAGTGGCAGCTTCGTGAGGACGCTTGCACCTGCCCCCCAAGAACCAGGATTGTTGTCCATTTGTGGCTCGTTTTAGTGTCTCGGCTGCCATTTATTCCTACACCCTAGTGAACTCCGCACCCGCGCCTGCCCCCTCCCCACCCCCCCGGGCGACATCAGTGGCAACTCGTGGCGCTCGTGGCCCTCTCTTCTGTTCCAGCTTATTGATTTCCCTCGCCTAATTAGTTTTGCTATTTTGTTCGCCATCCGCGTAGCACGTATACGTGATACGTATTACGCATACGTCGCGTTGCCTGCTTCTGGCACCATTTTCCCAGGGCATACTTTCAGGCTGCAAGCAAAAATGGACGTACACTTCCCAACCTCCTCCTCCTCCTCCCACGCATATTTAGTTAATTTTTATGGTTTTTGCGGAACGAATTTGAATTTTTATTGTAGAACATTTGACCCATTAGAGCCAAGAAGTGGGTGGCGGGGGGGGGCTTTGGTCTGCTTGTCGCAGTTTCATCAGTTTTCTTTTTCAACAAAAGTATAAATTATGATTTAGGTAGATTTTTAATGGCGGAGGTGAATGGATAGGGGAAAAAAACTGTTGCGCTAATCAGACAAATGGTCCAAGCTGTTTCTGAGGTAAGTTCCTGCTGGCAGACTGCCATCCCGCCCATAGGATGACAAATTTTGTGGCAAGCCATAAACTACTCGTACAGCAGCGTTGGGGAGAAGACAGGGCCGAAGGGGCAGCAGAGAGAACAGAACAATGTCCGCTTTCGATTGAATTCCCTTGGGGGCACGGGGCATGGGCCACGAAGCATATGGCTGGGTGGGGGTAGGTGGCTGGTTGGGTGGTTGGGTGGGTGAGTGGGTGAGTAGATCTGACATGCTAATGAGATCTACGATTATAGAAAGTCATCTGTTAGATAATGCCCCGCTCAGGTCTAAAGAAAGTTGATCACAGCCCACACGCCGCCTCCTTTGGCGATGGCAGGCATTTCGATATGGGCTACACCCTTGGGAATACACTCCATGCGAGTGTGCAGTTGATTTTCAAATGATTTTGCCATAAAATCAAACAAATTAGTCGCTCGCTTTGTTTTGCCTTTAATTACAATTGAATTGTTGTTGTGCAGCTGCGGCACTGCGATTGATTCCCAAACGAGCCCTCCACTCCCATCTCTCGCCCTCTTGCACCCATCATCACACTGTGCTACATCTATATTTATTATCTGCTATTTATATGTAGCAGTCTGTCATTAGTTCTATTTTTTATATCTATTCTTCTATTTTTTATATCTATAAATACATACATATGTATTTACCTGCATATACATAGGCATATAAATTATATTTTTGATTATTTTTCCTAAGAAGCTCCAGCTGGTCCCCAAATAGTTTTGTCAGGGCATATAAACATCTCTGCTATAATTTATATGCATTTCTTTTGTTTTTTATAGCAAGAGGCGGAACAACATCTTGCCATTTTGCCAGGGGAACATTCTAATGCCCAAAGTGCTGAGCGATGTGCCCATAATTTATGGTATTACTCTGTCAACATGGATTGGGCAGCAGCTCCTTCCAGTGTGTTGCTATTCATCTGTCCAGCACTGTTCGCAGCTCTGACTAAGCATCGTCAGATATTCGTACCCATTGAGCTTTGGTCGATAGCAATGACTACTGTCTCCTTACCCATACAAGCAGGGAATGGCATCTAAATTGCTGCGAAGCTTGTTATAATTATTATCAAATACATGCACGCAAAATCTAATCCGACAACAGCAAGGAATGGGAGATTGCGGATAGCCGAAGCACTAGATACTCTAGGAGATCTATTGATGCTCCAACCTCGGGGAACTAAGCGACCTGAACACTTTTTTGATTGAAACAGACGCACACTGGATCGTTGCTAAAATATCATCTCCGCATGGCAAACGGAGGGCAAATACCCCTACCTGCCAGTGTATAATTACAATTGCAATCAGGGTGGGCCAACGCCAACCCCAATCCCCAGTTCCAGTCCCAATCCCATCGATGATTTTGCTTTGTTATGGGCACGGGTTCTATGCATAGAGGGTGGGGGGAGGGCGTCGGGCCCAGAGGCAGGTCAGGCCCATAAATGTTATGCATGTAGATGCTGCCGCGGTGACATTTGTTGTTGCTTGCCTCTCATGTTGTTGTTGTCGCTTTGGCTAATCTGCCGCCCCCCCGCGCTTTCCACTGGCAACATTGTTGCCATCGAAAATTGTACAAATTGCCTTTTTGTCATGACTACCGCAGCAGCAGCAGCAGCACTCACCCACTCCCACACTGTCCCCCCCCCCCCGCTTTTGTAGCTGTGTATCTGTATCTATGGATTGTGTATCTGCAATCCCATGTATCTGTTAGCTTTGTCTGTCTGTCTGTCTGTTTATCTGTATCTGCTTGATTTATATCTTGTAGCGGCTTAAATTCGAATTACAACAACAAAGTCATAGCCAAATTTGGTCAAAAAGTGAAAAGAATTATGCGCTGTTCGGATTTCCGCTAAAGAAATGTCCCCACCCCTCCCATCTGCGTCTCTTCTCTTCTCTTTTCGTTTTGTTTTAATTTTATTTTGATTTTTCAATTTAGCTTTAGCAAGCGGAAATGCTGCGTAATTAAGTTGAAAACGCTGAGCGATCTTTTTCGACTATTGGATTTTGGAATTTGTGTTTGCTTTTTGGTATGGTTTGCTTTAAAGGCGTTGCCGATATGGGAGAATGGGTTTTTATTTCGTATATAGGGAAAGAGTTAGCTAGAAGAGTAGAAAATGTTGGGGATGGGGAGCATGGGAGAGCTGGGAAGGTCAGTTCTTATGGGGCGGAAGTAGAGGTATTATGAGAGGGAAAGTTGTGCATAGATGGGAAACCTTTGCAGAATATTCCCCCAGTGACAAGGTAATAAAATATTATTTATCTAGCAATAAGCGCGAATAAGAAATTTCACATTGATTTCCAACATTTTGTGCTATCAATCTGGTCATTATCCACTCTGCACCCTTTGGGAAACCTTCTCTTGTGCAGCTTTCCCTCCACTGCGGAAGTGGCACAACATTGGCAAATAAAACCCAGCCAACACGAGCCACCCAATCGCCTCAAGGAAATGCCAGTCAGAACTCGTTGCATGGCCATAGACGTTTTCGGCCCACAGAGCCACAGCCAGCCCCCTTTCGGTACAGAACAGAAATTCATTTCTCAAGATAAACAATCGAAAACATCGCCCGAGACCCCATACTGCTGCTGCTGCCTGGCTTGGCTACGTCACAACTGTCATTGGCTGTCGAGTCTGAGCCTCAGCCAGGGCTGAGCCCACTTTCAAGCGTTGGGTCGTAGCGCTATAAAAGCGGCAGCTTCTGTCGGTTGTAAGTTTAATTTGCTCAGAGCAAAAATCGCGAGTGGACGTTTCAGAAGAGAACGCGTCGAAGTCGAACGAACAAAGTGAAAAGTCGAAATCGAAGTCGATCGCTGCTGCGCTGCTGCGTCCCGAGAGCTCACGAGGAAGGAAAAACCCTTAAGAAAACACACACACCCAAACAGAGATGGCTCTGGTGCCGGCTACGAACAACACGGACTGGGATTATTGGGACTACCGTCGCCGCTTGTGGCGCGACTGGGACATCAACGACTGGGATCTGCCCTACTGGAAGCGCTCGCTGTCGCGGGTGGGCTCCGCGCCCGATCTCAGCCGGGTGATCGTGGGCAAGGATGGGTTCGAGGCCAACGTGGATGTGCACCAGTTCAAGCCGTACGAGATTACGGTGAAGACCACCGGCGACACGGTGGTGGTGGAGGCCAAGCACGAGAAGCGTCGCGACGGCGACACCTTTGTGGGCCGCCACATTGTCAAGCGATTCGTGCTGCCCCGTGGCTACTACCCCAACGATGTCCGCTCCGAGCTGTCCACCGATGGCATCCTCACCGTCCGCTGTCCGCCGTATCTGAGCAACGAGCGGAGCGTCTACGTCCGTCAAGTGGGTCCATCATATCTAAGCATCAAGAACTAACCCCGGGTAGCGGGATTTATGTGTGTTTTGTTTTTAGTTTCTGTTGGAGCAAAGAAAAAAAAAAAATAATGTAAAAGAAAGACAAATTATAATGCACTCGACACGACCGGAATTATCTGAAGGATTTCCGAGTCGCTTAATTCTAAGTAAACCAAATCCAAAACAACATTAATTGGACTCTTTTTGTAATTAACATGGAAACATTTCATTTGTTTAGTTAAATAAAATAAACGTTAATTTATTAATAATTAATTAAAGCGGCAACAGTCTTATTGGGGAACGGAACGGGCTCTGTGGTCCGCCAGGGCCAGCGGATGTTCCCCGTAGCCGTACACAGCCTGAGACAATGGGAACGCTGCCGAGGAAAATGTCAACATAAATCCGACTCAAAGCGCAGACAAAACAACTGTCCAGACAAAAGTATATACTATATATATTCTATATATCTAAAGAGAGGGAGAGGGAGAGGTACGTATATGTGCATACCACGCCCTTGAGCAATTTCCGCAAATGCCATCTAAGGTTAAGTTAAAATGTAAATGGATCCATAAACAACGACAGCAGCGACGAGAACCGCCTCGAGGCGCATAAACCCACACAGAGAAAACGCACAGAAATCGCATGAATAAACGGCTGGAAAAACTAATCTAGATCCGAGTATATGCATATAATATTTGACCATACAAAGTGTGGCCGCTTAGAACAAATTCGCACGGCCCACAAATGGTTTACACTGCGCGATTGTCGAGCGTTTTTAAACGCGCATGCGTTCGGCAAGCGTTTAAAAACGCGTGAAAATATTAAGCAGCGAGCGGCTGAAAACGCTCCAAGGGAAATGGAATTTGGGATGCAACTTTAAACGACTTGAAACGCGTCCAATTGTCTGTCAATCCCATGGATCGGATCGGATCGAATCGAATCGGATCGGTCAATTATGTGCAGCCTTAAACCATTTTCAGTTGTTTGATCGCCAAAACAATTTGTCAATCAAATTGTAAGCTATAAAACACCGAGGTCCGAGCTCTGGCCGCACAATTGAAACTACTATGGCTAGAAGATCGAAGGGGATGCGGAGGGACGGCAGCGACTGCTCTCCACCCATATGACATGGGAACGAGAATTCGTTCGGGCTGTGAGCTACTTAACTGCGAGTTCTATACGGTTCTATGCGGGTTGTTTATTCCAAAGAATAACATGTTTGTTTGGCTGGCCAAATAAGTCGAAGAGTGCGGCTGCTGCTGCTGCGAGTGTAACACACCTACGCGGTGCGACTTTCGTATTGTATTTAATTTTGTTTAATTAAAAACAATTTACAATTGGCACAGAGCCACACGAGGCGAGGCGGCGCATTTGATTCCAGATGATTGAGTGTTTCTTATTTATGTAATGGAATGTTAACTAATATTAATAATTTTCTGACAGCTGCTGCTCTGCCAAAGGATCAGGGCGATCAAGTTCAATGCGACTAGCAAATAGCAGAAGCAGAATCTGGAACATAGCCATCAATTCTCGTGGGCCTATGACTGTGACTATGCTAATGATAATGATTCTTCCATGGGTAAAAATAGTTTCCTTCTGCCAATGAAGGGGCGACACTTGTGCGCTCTCGCACTAATTTGCTTTATGATAGTCATGAATTATCAGCGACTATATGCATGCTATATGTATGCATATATCTATCTTTGGAGACAGGGAAATTCGGTGTGTTCCGTGTGCTTCCCTTCGAGAAAAGTTCGGAATCTCTTTGGCTACTCAGTCTTGCCTTGGCTCTGGTCGGAAACGGTGCGTTCGCTTCTCCCTAGGAAATCTCCGTTCTTGTCTCTTTCAATCAGTGGAAATACGTATATATATATAGTATATATATGTGTATTTGTAGAACTTTATATCTAGGATAAATATGGAATAATCCTAATGAACTTTAATTGTTCAACGAAGTGTGGAATTGTCAACTACTTGCGTTCCAGCAAATATTGTTCCTATTCATACGTGTGTGTGTGTGTGTGTGTATATATGTAGAATATGTTGAACATGCGCTATTTATAAAGTTTCGTTTCCCCTATATATCTTAAGCATATATACTTTCATCTCTTGTCCCATAAATATGTTCTAAAAGAAAGAGAAACGTGAAATTTTATTAATGACTTCTTATTTATAAAAGATAACCAAAGAAGCACAAATACCGCAGCGCCCCTGCCCGCCCGACGAGTGAGTGGAAAAGTGTGAAAAAGGCTACACGATCCTTGGCGTTCGTGCGGCAATATGTGGGCGTTCAAATATGTTTTATGTGCCCTGACATGCGTTGCATTTGCTGCAGGTAAGTGTGGGCGCAAAGCAGTGAGGAAACTCACGCACAGAGCTAACTTTATGGCACAATATTTAGGGAGGAATTTGCCCATTAGAAAATATCCAATAATTTTCATTAGCGTAGAAATTCGAAGTTTTTGTTTGTTGCCTTCTCCCGTTCGTTATTCGGAATTTTAGAATTCGAATCTTTAAAAATATAAATTTTTGTAAATGAAATTACCATAAAATGTTCACTTAAATTTTTAATTTTTTTTTTTAATATTTTTTAATAAGTGACGATAAAACTGAACACAACATTGTCATTAAGAGCACTTCGTGGTAACAGCTAATGGACGATTTTATGACATCTTTTCTTTAGAAGAATCTTAAAAAAGTGATCCCAAAAAAAAAAATGAGTCAGTGCTGGCGGCCAGCACGTGGGAGCCCCATTCGACTAACAAAATAGATCATTTAATTACCGGCCGGCATTCAGAAATGGGAGACATTAAAACTGATCGTAAATTACCTTAGCCCAAAAAGAAAATGTCGAAGAAATGGAAAAACCTAGAGACGACAATGAAAATACTTTTGGCAAAGATTCAGATGATTGTTTATGGCCCCCCTCCGTGTGTCTCCGATTGAGTGAGGGGAGTGAGAGGAGTGAGGGTGTGTGTGTGTGTGAGCAGCTGTTTGATATATTTATTTTTTTGTCGGCTTTACAGCGGCACTGCAGGACTGTGAGGTGGCGCCATTGGTGAGGCATGCCACGGCAACGATAGCCCTGACTGATGACACAATCACAGCCGTCTACAAGTGCAAGGCGGGCTTCGAGCTGAGGGGATCGGCCGAGCTGAGCTGTAACGAGGAGACAGACAAATGGCAGGGAGAGCCGCCCAGCTGTGTGAAGGGTATGTGGATGTCTCATTTGATGTGTGAATTCTGAGGCAAACGCTTGACTTGCAGCTGCAGCAGACACAGAGCGCAAGAGGAGCTATCTGGACATACCGGAGGAGCCGAGGGTGCCGCCGCCAGTGGCTGCCACTCTGGACGTAAGCTGCATCGAGGCAAAGGTCATGGCGCCCGAGATCAGCCACGGAGCGGTGATCAAATACGCGCGTCGCCGCAGTGGCGAGAAGATCTTCCTCGTGGCCTACTTTGCCTGCAACGAGAACTACGAGTTCGAGTCTCTGGATAACATATTCATGTACTGCCGCGAGAAGCAGTGGGTGGGCGAGCTGCCCACCTGCATTCCCCTGGTCGAGTACGACCTGAATGACACGGATCCTTATGGCGACGACTACGATGAGTACGAGACCATCAGCACTGACAGCGACAACGACAGCGACAACGACAACGACAACAATAGCGAAATTTTTGGTGCAGGGGAGACAAAGGTGACTGAGAGCGAACCGCCGCCACCGCCACCGCCGCCAGTCGAAGAGGAAGTTGCGGAGTCCGCGGAGGAGGCAACAGCCCCCACAGAAGCGCCCAAAGAACCAGTTGTGGAGCCACAGCCAGAAGTGATCGAGGAGCCACAACCAGAGCCCGAAATTTTGGTGCAAATCGGTGAAGAGGAACCAGCTGAAAGTGCCCCTGAACCGGCAGTCAAGGACGAAGGTGACGTAGCCGCTGCCAAAGATCCGTACACACCTCTTTTGCTGGACGAGAACTGCGGCGAAGATCGCGGCGGATGCGCGCACATATGCCAGCGTCTCCTGTATCCGGACGAGAATGAACCCGTTCTGAAGTGCAGCTGCCGCGAGGGCTACACCCTGGATCCCAGTGATTATGTCAGCTGTCTTGGTGGGTTATATTCATATTCATATTCATGTATATCGCAGTCATTTGACACCCCCCCCCCCCCGACGACAGATATCGATGAGTGCCAGGAGTCGAATGGAGGCTGCTCAGAGATTTGCATCAATCAGCCAGGCGGCTCTCAGTGCGCCTGCCAAGAGGGCTACCAAATAGACGCCTCCACGGGAAAAAGCTGCGTGGGTAAGTTCAGCTAAATCAGCTAGGTATTTCCATGGCCTTGCATTGAATCCGGCACCCCATTCCAGACATTGACGAGTGCTCCAATGTGGCGTTGTCTTCCGCTTGCCCGAATGGCTGTGAGAACCTGCCCGGATCCTATCGCTGTGTGGACGAGGCCGCCACTGAAGTGTCCGAGCCCACTGAGGAGGACAACGAGATACCAGTGGAAACGGAGGCCAGCAGCCCCAAAGTGAAGTGCAACAGTGGGTTCCAGCTCTCGGCCGATGGCAGCCAGTGCCTGGACATTGACGAGTGCGACACGAAGGATGGCGAGGACAAGCATCGCTTGTGCCAGCAAAAGTGCCAGAACACCATTGGCTCGTATCGCTGCCACTGCCATGCGGGCTACCATCTGCTGGAGGATCAGCAGAGCTGCGCCGTGGACGGATGCGAGGACCTGGACAATCCGAAGCTAAATCGCACGCGCTGTGCCCACGAGTGCGAGAACCTGCCCAATGGCCAGTACAAGTGCAAGTGCCCCCCGGGCTATGAGCTGGCCGAAGATCTGCACAGCTGCTTGGTGGTGGAGTCGCCCTGCATCACGGAGCACGGCAACGAGAGCTGTCGTCCGGGCAGCTGTGTGCCCAGCGAGGACAGAAGCAGCTTCAGCTGCCACTGTCCCCCTGGCTATGACAGCGAGGTCTCCAGCTGCAGGGACATCGACGAGTGTGCGCAGGAGAGCCATCTGTGCAGCCACAGTTGCCTCAACACGGAGGGTGGCTATCAGTGTCTGTGTCCTGGGGGGCTGACCCTCGTCGAGGAGTACACGTGCGTGGCCGAGGATCTGTGCGAGGTCAACAACAATGGATGCGAGCAGATCTGCCTGGCGGCACGTGGCGGGGCCTGCGCCTGTCGCGACGGCTACCGCCTCGGCGCGGACGGCAAGGGCTGTCAGGACGTGGACGAGTGTGCGGCGGAGAACGCTGGCTGCCAGCAGGTGTGCCGCAATCTGCCAGGTTCGTATGGGTGCGAGTGCTCGCCCGGCTACGAGCTGCTTCGGCTTGAGGGTCTGCGGGGCTACTGCTTCGACATTGATGAGTGCGCGAGGCAGACACACAAATGCCACGACGAAATGCTTTGCGAGAATCTCAATGGCTCATACACCTGCCTCTGTCCAGCGGGCTATGCCCTAGGGCTGGACAATAACCCCACGACATATACATCCGAATCATCATCCACATCCACATCATCCACATCATCATCAACTGCACCCTCACCATGCCTGGACATTGACGAATGCTCGCTGGGCAACGGCAACTGTTCGCACTTCTGCTTGAATCTGGCGGGCAGTGTCCAGTGCGCCTGTCCTTTGGGTTATGCACTCGCTGGGGACGGGCGCAACTGCCAGGACATCGACGAGTGTCTGCAGAGCAATGGCCAGTGCGCGCAGCTTTGCCTCAACCAGCCAGGGGGCTATGCATGCGCCTGCGAGTCCGGGTTTGAGCTGACTGCGGATGGCTTTGGGTGCTCGGACATCGACGAGTGCTCGCAGGGGTACGGAAACTGTAGCGACATCTGCATTAATCTTCTAGGTAGCCATGCCTGCGCCTGCGAGCGGGGCTACGAGCTGTCCGCCGACGGCAGGAGCTGCCAGGACATAGACGAGTGTGCGGGACTGCTGTCGGGCGGCTGCACCCACGAGTGCATCAACAAGCAAGGCAGCTTCGAGTGCGGCTGCCCCCTGGGCTACATACTGCAGGAGGACCAGCACAGCTGTCGCCCCGCCCTGGTTGGCTGTCCGCCCGGCAGTCAGCGGACAGCCACCTCCGATGGTTGCGAGCCCATAGACTGTGGCCTGGGCCTGCTGCTCGGCGCCGATGGCAGCTGTGTGGACGTCGACGAGTGCCAACTGAACAATGGCGGCTGCTCGCATCGTTGTGAGAATGCCCAAGGCTCCTTCCGGTGCGCCTGCCCAGCCGGCTATCAGCTGGACAGCGATCTCAGGACGTGTCAGGATGTGGACGAGTGTGCGCTGGACAAGGCGAGCTGTCCGGCTGGCGCCTGTGTCAACGAGCCTGGCGGCTTCCGTTGTGAGTGTGGCTTCGACAAGAGACTCTCCATTGATGGCAGGACTTGCCTGGATGCGCCCCAGCCACCAAGGGCTTCGCCTCTTCCCGAGCTGCCAAAATCAAAGCCATTTCCCTCACTACCCGAGCTGCCAAAATCAAAGCCATTTCCCTCATTTCACGGGCTGGACAAGGCGCCAAAGTATCCTTCCGCTGCTCCAGAAACACCAAGGTTTCCATCCATTGGATCAGTGAACAGCAGACTGCCGCAGATTCCCTGGGTGAGTCAGTCACAGCCACAGCCACGGGATGTCTGTCCCCGCTTCCAGGCGCCGCGGAACGGCAAGGTCCACTGCGACAGGTATCGCCACAAGCGATTGCAATTCTACAACACCCGCTGCAGGGTCAGCTGCAATGCCGGCTACACCCTCCACGGATCGGAGATCAGGAGTTGCGGATCCGCCGGTGTTTGGCAGGGCCCGGAGAGCAAGTGTGTGCGTAAGTATATCAAATGGGATGGGGATGGGATCCAATCATCGATCTTTTAACCTAACCTAACTTCCTCTTCAGCGATATGTCCGGCCCTGAAACCAGCCCGCAATGGTGTCATCAGCCCAGCCAGCTGTACGCAAGGTCCTTCCGCACTTTGGACCACCTGCATCTTGCAGTGCAATGCTGGCTTTCAGCCCACTGGACCCTCGATGACCTCCTGCATGTCGCTGCAGGGCTGGGACTTTGGATCCGAACTCAGCTGTAAGCCGTTCGGCAGGATCTTCTTCAGCAATCAACTGCCCGAACTGGGCCAACGGATCCGAGCGCAGTTTCTGCAGACAGCCACAAGCGTTCGGCCCTACATCAGGTGTCCCGAGAATGTGGTCATCCGACTGCAGCGCGGACAGCTCAAGGCTAAGGTGACGCTGCAGCGGCCCCAGACCAATCTGGACTACCGCAATGTGGCCGTGTCTCCCGTCTTGGGCAAGCAGCTGGAGGCTCACCTCTCGGCTGGTGTCCACAGGATTGAGTTCCGTGCTGAGGACCCACAGACGGGCCAGAGTGCCGCCTGTCAGACGATCATCACCATCAAGGCGCCGCCAACGACCGAGTTCAATCCGTTCACATTTTCCTCCGCTCCACTCGGCCGTCATTTCAAGTTCTCCACACCCGCTGCATATCCGACACTGTCCGGGTCCCAACAATTTGCCAGAATATCTGCACTACCTGAACCATCCGCGCCATCGGTTGCCTCTGGCCCAGTGGCCTTCCCCGGGCTGGACACCGCTCCTGAGCGCAGCGAGAGCTACCGGGTGGAGCTGGGCTCAGACACAGCTAACTATTGCCCGCCCTCGATCGAGGTGCATCTGAAGGAGAATCAGAATCTGCGTTCGGTTGTCTGGGAGCCGCCCCGCTTCGAGGGCAAGCTGTTGAAGATCTTCAAGTCCCATGTTAGTATTCAAACTAAAACTGAAAACTTCGCTACAAACTCTACGATTTATTTGCAGTTCCCTGGCGCCTTGTTTAGACTGGGCGATCATGCCATCAAGTACGAGGCAACCACCACTGATGGTCAGACCCTCACCTGCATTTTCCACATTCATGTCAAGCGTAAGTGAAGGAGCGAACGAGCGAACCACCTCGTGTCTTCATCGTAACACCCTCATTGTGTGTTTCTCTTCTCTTGCAGCTGCCAAGCAGACACCACAACCTGCACGGCCAGAGATTTCCTTTTCCGAATCGGAGTCCGAGTCGGCGCCAGCACCACTTAGGGAGATGCCCGCCGCCAGCAGCAGTCACGAGTCCTATGTGGTCTGTCCCGACAAAGAGCCCGTTCGAGTGACGGCCCACCAATCCGTGAGTATGCCAGAGCCAAAGCCAACGCCAGAGCCCCGTAATAGGAGCGTAGCAGCGAAGGTTTTCGATCTGTATCTGTATCTGTTTCGGTATCTCATTCGAATGTATCTGTTTTGTAGGTCAACCTGCCCGTGGGCTGCACACTGAAGAACGTGCGCCCACAATCGATGCCCCAGGCGCAGGTGAAACGCGGCACCCTCACCTCGCTGTGGCACAGATACAATGCAAATTTCTAGAGCCCAATACTTAGGGTATAAACTATGTATCTTCCCATAGCAATTGAGGGGAGGCGCCGCTTATGCAAATACTTTTGTATATCTTTTTTTAATGCTTAATTTAAATAAATAAATAAATAAATATTTTAAATGTAATAACTTTGGGGGGCGCTTGCAGATAAGTGGAAACTTTAATGGGTATTTTTTGTTGGGTCTTGTAAACTCTTTGAAATGTTGCATCATCTTCGGATTGGGGTTTAATCTAATCTGTGGGGTGTGTGTGTGTGTGTGTCTGGCATTCCCCAACTGAAATGAACTCTCAACTTTTAATGTAAGCAAAATATAATCAATGCGATCCACAAACAATGGGCTTAGCTGATCCACAAGCTATTACAAATGGGTTCCACAAAGCCAGAAGAGAGAGAGCCAGGCGCGCCCTTTGAGTGATTTACCAGTTATTATTTTCTACGATAGTTCCGATGATAGTATGTATATATATATATATATATATATATAGCGCGTGCCGGGCCCCCCACCTCCAGCTTGATATCCACAGCTACTTCCAATTTATTATTCACTACAAAATAATTGCCCTGAAATGCCGTTAAACTCGTTTGGTTAGAACCTGTCATGTCACATTTTTAAAACCATTTCAGATTATTCATTCAGATTATTTTCAATCGTTTGGCGAAAACAAAAACTAGAAACTAGACCTCCCGCCCCAGCAGAGCAAACAAATCGAATTGGGGAATATTTATATGGTAATATTCGAACCGAAGAACACACAGAAATAGACAGCATGACCCCTCCACGACCGCAGGAACTGATAACCCCATAGCCAGAGCCATAGCCAGAGCCAGTAGCCATAGCCATAGCCATAGCCATAGCCATAGCCAGATCCAGTAGCCCATAGCCCATAGTCCACAGTTAGTGCTAAGATTGGGCCGCATGTGGATGCTATTCCAAGATCGTTCACTCGTACGATTGATCGCATTATTATTGACTGGTTTCCACTCGGCTTTCGTTGAGGTTGTTGTTTTCGTTTCACTTCTCCACGAGATTAGCTATCGAAGCCCCGTGGCTTGGGGGCCTGGGGGCCTAGCAAAAAAAAAGTCTATTTAAGCGCCTGATTAACTGAGAAATTAAATCAGTCTTTAATCGTGTGCTGAGCAGTGCGTTCTGTTTGCTGTTCGTGCGGTTGTTTTGTTTCCCCCCCATCTCGCAGTAAATACACAAGAGAAGAATCGCTTTGAAAATGTACCAGCGTCAGGTCTCCTTTGATAAGGTTCGTTCCTGTACATACAACATACGTATATGAGAGACTATAGAAAGTGTTTCGCAGAAAATACCAATAACAAGTTTACTATATATATATATATTTGTGTGTACTGGATTTGAACTTTTGCTAACCTTGAAAGGAACCCACAAAATATAAGAAATTCCCAGTAAAAACAAAGTTTATATATGCAGCCCGACTGCTGATTATCAGTTTGAGCTGCCATCAAATTGGGTTAAATCTACTGATAGCCAGACAAAGGAATATTTATACATAGAACTGAATATTGAGTGTGTGTGTTTTTTGTTCTCTGGCGTACAAATCAAAAACAAGTAGCCTACAAATAATATATCCTATGAGCAACTAGCTCTAAGTATCTTGTATCTTGTGGTATTAGAACAACCTTACCAGTGCCTCATCAAGTTCTAGGTGAAGCCCATGGCTATTTGCTCTATTTGCCATTGCGGTCAGAGACCCAAAACCTTCGAGATACATATAGATATATGGCTTCGGTTGAATAACTTGCCTTGATTTCGGCCCTGGCTAACCTTTGAAATTCGATCGTCGCTCTGAGCAAACTGACTGTATCGGCACTCAATAGTTGGGTATTGATCATGAGTGAGGTGGGCTAAGGGATTGCATCAGTCTGGGGGTGGGTCACATTCTGTGTCAATCAATGGGTGGGGATTGTTTTTCCCAATCGATAACCATATGACGAAAGCTAATCAAAAATTTCCCCCCCCATCCATCAGCCAACGAGGCCAATTGAGGATTCGGCTTATATTGCCGAGGGTGTGGATATACAGGAGGCGCGGAATACGTGTCTTCTGTTCTCGCCAAAGGACTCGTCGCTGTCCAGCGGTGCCCTGGCCAATATCTTGGCCATCTTCAAGAAGCACGACATCAATCTGGTGCACATTGAGTCGCGCTCCTCGCTGCGTGTGCCCGGCTATGAGTTCTTCGTGGAGTGTGACGGCAAGTCCGGGGCCCTGGGCAGGGCCATTGAGGACGTCAAGCAGCAGTGCAGCTATTTCAATATCATTTCGCGCGACTACAAGGACAATGCGACGGCTGTGCCTTGGTTCCCACGGCGTATACGCGATCTGGATCGGTTTGCCAATCAGATTCTCAGCTATGGCGCCGAACTGGACTCCGATCATCCGGGATTCACCGACCCGGATTACCGCAAGCGTCGCCAGTACTTTGCGGACATTGCCTACAACTACAAGCACGGCGAGACGCTGCCGCATGTGGAGTACTCCAAGGAGGAGATCGAGACCTGGGGCATTATCTTTCGCAATCTGACGAAGCTCTACAAGACGCACGCCTGCCGGGAGTACAATCATGTCTTCCCCCTGCTGGTCGATAATTGTGGCTTCAGGGAGGACAACATCCCGCAGCTGGAGGATGTCTCCAACTTTTTGAGGGGTAAGTTTCCATAGACACACACACCCAGAGTCCTAGAACACAAGTGTCTACAATGCTTTGGCCCATTTCTGCAGATTGCACTGGCTTCACCCTACGTCCGGTGGCTGGTCTGCTCAGCTCGCGCGATTTCCTCGCCGGCTTGGCCTTCCGCGTGTTCCACTCCACTCAGTATATTCGGCATCCCAGCAAGCCCATGTACACCCCCGAGCCCGATGTCTGCCACGAGCTGTTGGGCCATGTGCCCCTCTTTGCCGATCCTGCATTTGCTCAGTTCAGTCAGGAGATTGGCCTGGCTTCCCTGGGCGCACCCGATGACTACATTGAGAAGCTCTCAACGGTAGGAGGATATACTCTCCCACATGTCGCCCCCAAACCCCATTTAATCCTCACTTTCACCTGTCAGATCTTCTGGTTCACTGTGGAGTATGGTCTGTGCCGTCAGGAGGGTGAGCTGAAAGCCTTTGGCGCCGGTCTGCTGTCCTCCTACGGCGAACTGGAGTACTGCTTGACGGAGAAGCCCATGCTGAAGGACTTTGAGCCAGAGGTAACTGGCATCACCAAGTATCCGATCACACAGTTCCAGCCGCTGTACTATGTGGCCGACAGCTTTGTGAGTGCCAAAGAGAAGACAATGTAAGTCGAACCCCGACCCCATAAAAAAATGTACCATCTTTAATTGGTTTTTGTGGTTTTTTTGTGCTTAGTAAATTTGCCAACTCGATTCCACGGCCGTTTGGTGTCCGCTACAATGCCTATACGCAGAGTGTCGAAGTGCTGGACTCCAAGCACCAGATATCCAATCTCATGAACAACATCAACTCCGAGTTCCAGATTCTACAGAATGCCATTGCCAAGCTACGTGTCTGATGGCTCATTTCCACATCTACTACTATTTTATATGCTCTCTCTCTATCTCTATATAGGTCTTTAGAAATGTTTTGTGTATTTTTTTATATGCTAAAATAAATAATTACGAAAATGTAATGCATTTTCTTGTTGGTTTACTCGTATCATATTTATATATTTCTCTTTGAATTTTGGATCTTTTATGCCGTCAACATGTCGTTTGATTTGATTAGCTTTTTCACATTGCTCTCGGTAGGGTAATTATTATCTACTAGTTATATACAAATTAGTTCTAGATCACCATAAAATCTTTCATCGTTTTTGTATGTACACTGTACAGGCTTAAGCAAGTTCTCGCGACTTGTCCTATAGGTATGTACAGGGCTTAAACACTGAGTTACTAGAGTTATTAAGGTAGTTGTAGTTGAGTTTAAGTTAATTACAAGGTTTCGCTGCACGTTCAAAGCTGACGATCGAAACATATTCGAATAAGCATCGCCCAACAAGTCGATTTAATTTCCTACAGCTGAGGAGGCATGGGGAAAACTTATCGGAATATGCTCACAGCAGAAAATAAATGTCAGTTGCAGTTGCAGTCTCAACCTGAGTTGTTATGTCTATCATCATCGTTGCTTAAATAATAAATTGACTCCAGTAGAGAAGACCAGTCTTGGTATAATGGATATACAATTGGATTAGCATTGCTTACATAGTTAGTTATCTACAATTATTATTTAGGCGTACGTTTTCGGGCTTAAGGTTCGATTACATATCAGAGATCATCCCTGTGTGCGCCCTCAATGGCACTTACTGGATAATTTGGTGGCTTATGCAAACGATGGGCTCTTCTTGCTAATTGCTAACAAATACAAAAAATCTACTTATCGTTACATATTTTGAGAATGTTACTACTACGCGTACATACATACATATATACAAACAAACAAACACACACACACAGAGAGAGACACACAAAGTAATCAAAATCCATCTCTTAGAAGAACAATACTCAGTCTGTTGAGATCTACAACTAGTCCCGAAAGGAGGTTCCAAGAGAAAGTTCGCTAGAGAGACAGCCAGTTAATACACGGATGCACAAAATATAGGCGAAGGAAACTTATTAGAGACTCTATAGGGCTTACGTGCTAGGGTTCTACATGTGTTATTGACTGCCGCCATGGGCTGTGTTTGGCGCATCGAATAGATTCTGTGATTGCTCTTGCGACATTTGAAAGGGCAATATTTCCAGGTCGTTCGGCAATTGATTCTGAGTCTGGTTCTGCAGGTGGGTGAGGAATGGATTCGTGTGGTAAAAGTTGCTCGATTGTTGCATCTGCTGTTGGTGTTGTTGCTGCTGCTGCTGCAGGAGATGTTGCTGCTGCAGCTGCAAGTGGTTACTGCTGCGACCCATCATCATCTTGTCTTCGCTGTGCGTCTCGGAGCCGTCATCGCTGATGCCCATGTGGAAGTTGACCGATGGACTCGTCGCCATCTGCATATATGACAGCAAGGAGTCTTCGTTGTGATTTTGTGGTGCAGTCGAGCTGCTGTTGTTATTGTTGTTGTGGCCGGTGTTGTGGCTGGTGTTGTGGCCGGTGTTGTGGCCGGTGTTGGTGTTGTTTTGAGTGCTGCCGTTGCCATTGTTAAAGCTCGGATGGCTGTTGTTGTGGCTCGTGTTGAGGGTGGATGATGGAGGCTCGAGCGATTGCAGCGGCGAGAGATTGAGAAAGGCATCAATGTCCTCGATGTCCTCGCGCGACAACATATCGTTCTGCTGCTGCTGTTGCTGCTGGTGTTGCAGCTGCAATTGCTGCTGCTGCAGCATATGTTGCTGCTGCTGCAGTTGATTTTGACTCTGATGCTGCTGCTGCAGATTGTGCTGCTGCTGATTGTGCAGGTTCTGCTGCTGCTGCATCATCATCTGCTGGTCCTGCTGGTTCAGCATCTGCTCCGAGTTCAGCGCGAATCCATACTGATTGAACTGCGGCTGCACGGCGTTCGTGCCCGCAAAGTTGAAGCCGCGCTGAACGCTGCCGCCCGCCGCACTGGACATCGCTGTGCCCGGTGCCATGCTTCCCTGTGCGAGTCCCATCTGCACCACCGGCTGGAAATACGTATAGCGGGCTAGCAGCAGCTGCTCCGACACAATCCTCAGCTCGTCCTGCTGCTGCACGATCAGCTTCTGCAGCTCGTCGTGTTTGCGCTGCAGCTGATCCTGCAGCTGACTCTGCGTGGGCGTCATCACCACACTACCGGGTAGGAGTTCCTGCTGCCCTTGGCCTTGGCCCGACACCGCCAGCGGCGAGAGGACAGGGACGGGTGGCACCGGAAACGGACCTATCACTGGCTGCATGGGTATGGCGGTCAGGTACTGGTGCGGCTCCAGGAAGGTAGGCGCCACCAGCTGAGGGCTGGCCAGTGGATAGGCGGGCTGTGGAAATGCGTTGCCCGCCACAATCTGTGCGGGTGCGATGGGCAGCATGGGCACCAGCTTAGGCGGCCCCACGTTCAGTTGCAGCTGCTGTTGGATTTGCTGTTGCTGTTGCTGGAGGTGTTGCAGATGCTGTTGCTGCTGCTGCTGTTGCGCCTGCTGCTGTTGGTGATGGTTATTATTATTATGGCTTTGACTGTGATCACGATGCTGGGACCGTTGTCGTTGACTTTGCTAAGGGGACGAATTGCCAGTGTAAAAGGAAAAATCACAGCTGAATCTCCACGCTCTACTCACCGAGCTTGCATGGGTCATCATGGAGTGCCTGCTGGCCCCGGACTGCCTGCTGGCCACCGACTGTCTGCTGGTGACCGATTCCGTGGACATTGAAGTGGAATCCGAGTCATTGCCTCTGTTGTTGTAGAAGTAACATTTCCGCTTGGCCTTTGGTGAGATGCCCGTGGAGCTAATGTTGCCATAGCTCGAGGCGGGTCTGGCTATTTTCAGGGGATTTACTTGGCAGGAGCCCGATGCTGCTGCTGCTGCTGCCGCCACCGAGGCCGACCACATGGGCGATGCGTCCACTGTGGGTGAGTTGGCAGCCGTTTCACTGGTCAGATTCGCCAAGCTATTGTCCAGCAGTGTGCTCTCTAGATTCTCGTTTCCCAGCTCAAAGTCCCTCAGCGTTGTCGTAGCCGTCGCCGATTTGCTGCTGCTGGCCGTCGAGGCCAAGGCCGTGCTGTCCTTGCTGCTGGCCTTCTGTTTCTCCTTCTGAGTGTGCTTGATGACCTCCGCATAGCTCACAACATTGTGTGTGCACACAACATAGTCCGGCTTCGTGTTGAATTGATGGTAGCTCACAAAGTAGTCCGTTTGCAGCCAAATCCATTGCTGGCCCTTGGTTAGGAAGCGGTAATAACAGGACTTTCCCTCGCCCGTTTGTCGCACTAGAGGGGAGGGTAAACCATTTAGTATAAGTACTTATTCGTTAGCTTCAAGCCGAGAAAAATAAGTCCAATTAGCAGTTTTTATCCCTTTAAATTGTTTTGAATCGCTTTTGCGTGGCATTTGGGTGCTGCCAGATCGTTTCGATCGTAGTCAAAACAAAAGACAGCTGTTCGCGGTAATTAGAGCGTGCACATTCTACAATTTGTTAGCATTTTCGAAGCGAAGCTGTATGTAGCTCTGCACGCGCAGATACCCCCTCTAGAGGGGCGGGTAAACCATTTAGTATAATTACTTATTTGTCAGCTTCAAGCCAAATAAGTCCAATTAGCAGTTCTTATCCCTTGGCTGGCATTTGGGTGTTGCCAGATCGGTTCGATCGTAGTCAAGACAAAAAACAGCTGTTCCACAATTTGTTAGCATTTTCGAAGTGAGGCGAATCTGCGCGCGCAAATAAAATGGAAAATTGAAAAACTATTACAACTCACACTCTTCGTGGCACGCCACAATGCTGTCCAGGTCGTCAACGTGATAGTAATCGTATCCGGAGGTGCCCAGCACCTCGAATGGCATGTAGCCAATGATTGGTGGCGCGCGGTGATCGAGAAACAGGAACTTCCACTCCATACTGTGCTTCGAAGTGAACTCGTTGCTCGTCGGGTCGATTATGCTCATCTCGCGTATTAGCTGCGGGTTCTGGATGCGGCCCGTGCCCACAAACACCAGCTTCCTGTCCACCTCCACGCTGGGGTTCTTCTGGAAGATGTGCGGCAGCACGGGTGCCGACTGGCTGCCGCTCGGACTCGCGGAACGGGAGCCCGCCGAGGTGTTTGGATCGTTGCCTGTGCATGGATGCCGGGGGTGGGTAAGTGAATGATAATTATTAGTAGATGCAGACACTTGCGGCTGCACGTCTACCTACGAAAGTAACCAACAAATTTAACCAGTTCGTAGGAGTTGGAGTCCACCTTCTCGACCCCGCCGCGCTTTAGATGCGTGTAAAAGGTGATCTCATTGCTGGCACCGATGTCCGTCTGCCGCGGCTCGATCACAGGCGGCGGATTCACGAAGACGTTCATGAGCGCCTCGTGGTCTATTTCGTAGGCCAGATCGTAGATGTTCATGCTGTACAGATCTTGCTGGAAGGATTCATTTCGGTAAGTCAAGCACAAGTTATGAGTGAAGTGTAAAGAACGTACCGGCAAATAGCCCAGCTGAGAGGTAATACTTTCCGAGGCATAGAATATGGTGCCCATGCTGCCAAAGACTATCATGAAGCCGTCGAGGGACTCCAGCATCAGGTGCGTGAACTCATCGTTGCTGAGGAACGTGGGCTTCCAGTCTTGCTGTATTTCAAAAACCTTGGAGCGATCCGCGGCCTCTGTTTGAAAGGAGTTACATTTGACATCAAACAATATGGAATACGGTGGGGGAAATCAGTTCAGCTACCATTGTGATTCCTCAGGAATGAAATGGTTGACTTGAGGACCGTGGACTTGTCCATCTTCCGACCGGAGGTGGATATCAGGGTGCTCAGATCACAGACCAGCGAGTTGAACTGATCCCGTCGCTTTTTCTCGCTCAGATTCCGAGACTTTCTGCAAAGAAAACTGCGGGTTACACAAAAAAACCATGATAAGCATTTGCGGATACACATTTTATCATTCTCCGTCATCTTCATCTTCATCTCGTCACTGCCACATACATATGTACATATATAATCTTGGTTTTCATAATAATAATACCCGCAAGGGGTCGGATTTACAACCCTCAGGTGAGGCGGCCGCCGTGTGCCCCACGTGTGCCTGGCCCATTGAGGCATTGTCTGGCGTTGATTAGACATATATGCCCACATGCTATCACCCCCTTTTACGTGTATTCTCCTGAAAAGAAGGTCGGCATTTGGTACCCCTTGTACCCTTTGTCACTTTGCATTTGCTGCGCTACAGTTTACGTTTTTCTCTCTGGCATTGACATTTCCATGTCGGATGGCTAATGCTGTTGCTAATGTGTGGATTTCAACCTCAGCCTGTCAGCATGTGGGTTCTGGTTAAATGTTCTGTAATTGTCAGTTATTCGGACACTTTGTTTGCATAGTAGATATGTTACTGAAGTTAATTCCCCCCCATTAATGTATTCAGGCTGACAGAGTGAGTTTACTTTTGGAGTCAATTGAAGGAAACACAGCTGGAGGTATATTTGCTCTGAGGAGTTGAAGAAAGCTAGGACATTTATATGGTGGAAGGGGATGGCAGGTTAAAAATGTTGCAGGCCTTTCGATATTTTCAGAAAATGTTTGGGATACGCTACGTTGTTGCAATGTTTTTTTTACACTTTTTTCAGGTTTAGTTATAAAGTTTTATAGTTTTTTTTTTATGTAAAGCTTGCCTTAGCACATGCATCTCCCACAAAGGGATGTCTCCTTAGCAAACATTTTGTCGCTGCTATTTCCCGAATTCTTCTAAGGCATTATTTTAATATTAAAACGTTAGTTTTTAATGTCTCCCCTTTTCTTAACTACTTTTTTGCTCCGAATTTAAAAAATCAGATTACTTCTTTTTACACTTTTCTATTCGCAAAAACTTTTTTAGAATTTTACAACCGCAGGTTATTATAGGGTGTAGGGTTTACCCCATGAATCCAAGAAATGCCTTTAACTAATTTTAGATCGCTCTTTTATCTATCCCTATCCTCCGGTGCATATTCCATTACTAATTGGTTATATTTACAAGAGCTGCTATAAGATATGTGTCCCAGATTTGGCACACAATTTCGCTTATTGCTCAATCCAAATTCCAGCCAAAAGAAAAACTAATTATGGTCTGCACAAATTGAATCCGCACTCGGGTTACCAATGTCACTGGAAATTGGCCCACAAAGGAAAACGCTTTGTCCACTTGAGTTACAAATTATTCTTACACTTCTTCCACTGGGCCCCTCATCTGATACTTTCATTGATACTTTCGACGGGGAGGCTGTGTGAATTAGCGAATGGCATAGAGTCCCAGAGTCCAGGCAATGAATGCGGACAACAGCACTGGTCTTCGGAGACAATTATTCTTTTATTTGGTGGAAAATTTCAAAAAGAAATACATTTCACTCCTTCCCTGGCCCTGGCCCTGGCGCACAGTGCTGTGTGTCGTGTTCTCTTCTTCGTCATCTGTCAGTTGCAGATTGTGCGAGTATCTATTTATGAATAGCCCCGTACACTGTATTCCGTATCCCGGTACTTCGTATCCGTAGAAATGTGAATGGGTGGGTGTGTCTAAGCGTAGGGCAAGGTGCGTGTGAGTAATGTGTAGGGGCTTTTACCTTTTCGTATCATCCTTGTCATCGCTCTCGTCGTCCATTTTTGTATTTATTGGATAATCCTTGAACCGAATGAATCTTTAAATACGACCAGAAAGGGCAAAAGAACTGAAAGTGGGGGGAGGCTCGTGGTGGCGGCGGGTAGGGAAAAACTGAAGTAAAATGCTGCTCTTCCTTCCTTCCAACTTCTTCTATTGAAGACTTGCACACAAATGCGACAATTAGTTACTGGTTCACATAGTTTTTGCTATTCAGATTCTGTTTATTTGTTGAGTCTACACGTTCAAGTTCAGGTTTCAGGTTTCAGGTTCAGGTTCAGGTTATGTTCGCACAACAATTGACTTCCACATGCTCAATATGCCACATTTTGATCAACTGAAAGTATTGCAAGGAATATATCCATTCTCAATTATATATTTCCTTCATTTTGTAACTTTTTTGTGGGAATTTTTGCCGTCGCATTTTGAATTTATCGAGCTAATGTTGCTGCACGACGCGCACCGACAGCAACAAGTGCAGTTGAGACTCTGTTTCGGCTTTGGTTTTCACTTTGGGTTTCGTTTCACTCGATGGCAGCATCATTATTCTGCCGTGGCCTGTGGCTGTGGCAGGCAGAGTTACGTAAGAGCCGCACAGACACAATGAGCTGCGCCTGCGCAGGCGCCCCGTACCCGACACGAGCCGAGGCTGGCGGCCAATCTGCCAGCCAGGCGTGCCCCAATCGTTGCACGGGCATGGCATGGCATGGCATGGCCGAGCAGCGTGTTGCACAGTTGCAACCCCTGAAATGTATGCTACGCTATTTTGTCATGTTACAAAATGCGTTCAGCGAATGCCATAACAACCAGTCGCTCCCTGGGGTGGGGGCGGACAGGACACCAGCTAGCTGGTGGATGCCCCAGCCAGAGGCTGGGTATGGGGTTGTGTGTGCCAGAGTGACGGAGTGGTTGCATGGCTGTTTGTAGATGTGTGGAAGCAGCAGCTGGCCAATTGCCTCACTGTATATAGACATTGCCTCTTGATGCTGCTGTGCCGCTGTGCCCCACCGCCCTCTCCCCCACCGAACCCTATTTATATATCAGCCACGCAGCCACACACACTAGCTTACATATTGCATAATTTTTTTTCATTTTAATTTTTTCCATAGTCGCCGACATTTGCCGCAGGTAGATTTTTCTTTGCCCTTGCATAAAATGATTTCCTTGCACACAGTTATTCCACAATTATTCCGTTTTAATTACCAGGCTTGCAGCTCCGGGGCTTCCGTCGAAAGGAAAGCAATTTCTTGCTCAACACAAACTTGAAAACTTTCGTTCGTTTCCATCAAAATGTCAAAGGTTCTATTTGCAAGCCACTGAAATGCACTTTGTTTTTCGATGGCACGGGAAAACAAGGGAAGCCCACTTCGTCGAACAAATGACGTCGGAGTTGAAGCAATTTAAAGTTGATAAATCATTGAATAAAATCAGCCTTTAATTAAAATGGCAAAGCAGCTTAAAATCACACAGAAAACACACACACACACACACACACACACACACACACACACACAAACAGAGAATCGGAAATAGAGGGCGAGAGATGTTCGCTTCTTTGGGGGCATGCAGAAGCTGTAATTAATCCGGTTAGACCCCAAACGCAGCTCATAATTTCCCATATGTCCACAGCATACCAAAGGGACAACCAAATCACACACAAACATTTTAAATACTCCGTACACATCAAAGCCAAGCTCCCCCCTCTCTCTCTCGCTTAGCGGACTCTCTCACTCTCCATCTCTCTCTCTCTCTGTGGGCCAAGTGTTTTGCTGGTTAACCGTAAGTAGCTGTTGGCTCTGGCTTTGGCCTCGGACCTGGCTGGTGGCTCAAAACTGTTGCCAGAGCCGCCGCCAGCCAGCAGATAATTGCCAATGACTCGTTTAATGGCTCGTATTGCAATTAGTGCGGTTCGTTTGGTTTGGCTTTAGAGAAAAAGGTAGATAGAGACACCGATAGAGTGTCGGGTAATATGATGATTGAAGGGGTTAACTTTAAGTTGAGGAATGTGGACTATTGCCAACTCTGTCGCGTTCGATTGAAGAATCAAAGTCAAAGTTGGGTCAAAGATTTTCTCATTGTCTCAAAGGCTTATTAACAGAGTTCCTTAAAGCACCCAAAGTAATATGCCTGGACCCACTGCGTTTGCATATACAAATTGCAATTATAATGCTCATTTATGCAAGGTTATTGTCAGTTAACTATCTTCCTCAGATTTCTCAGTTAACTGAGATTTAACTTATTTATTTATTTAATTTATTTATTATTTATTATTATTTAATTTAATTTTATTTATTTATTTAATGTATGGGAAAAGGTTAAGCTGGTGTCACAGCATCCAGCTTTGAGAGATTCATAGCAAGCAGCCGTAGCTCTGACGAAACTTAAAGGCAAATCGTTTCTGTCTCTTCTAAAAATTCTCAAAAATTTAAGATCTGTAAGATATTGAAATATGTGCAATGAAAGCTCTCAAGTGCTGCTGCCTTTTTCTTCTGTATATTGCACTTCTAAAATCTTTGTAAAGGAATTACTTTTCGATGATAATAAATCGAACAAAAATCAATTTATTACTATAAGATTTCTCTATTTGGTTATATGCAAACCAGATATCCTACGAACCCTAATTATAAAACAATTAAATCAACTATCGTCGACTGCTGAAAGCGCGCTCATTTTAGACAGATTAAACATTTGGCATTGACAACATTGTGGCTGTTATTTTATTGTATGTGCGCGAGTATATTTATTTGCAATGCGGAAGCCAATGAGTGGGGTAGAAAAATGCAAACAAATAAAAAGCACAGAAAGCCGGTTGCTTGGGAGTGCGAGTGCGGCTAGTGCGACTGCAGAGTGCAGAGCAATGGCAAGAGGCAAGTTTACTCAACCCGGTCCGAAGATCGTTGACTGACCTACTCACGAGTAAGCTCCCCCTCTCTCTCTCTCTCTCTCTCTCTGTCGCGCTGTCTATCTGCCTGTCTTCTATCTCGCTCACTTGCAAGCTCTATCTGTGGAGCGTGCCAGCTCTCCCGCCGACTCTTCTCTCGGTCACTCTCTCTCTCTCTCTCTGTGTCTCTGTGTGTCTGAAGGGGGGGAACTAACGTCATTTGATTGCATTTGTAAAGCTTCTCTCGGTTGCAAAAATTATCGCATACCCGTAATGTGCATGTGTGTGTGTGTATGTGTGCCTCTGTCTATCACTATCCTTCTCTTACTCTTACTATATGTTCCTCCCTCTCTGTCTCTGTCTCTGTCTCTCTCTCTCTCTCTCATTCCGTGTGAGTGTTTGATTTCTTTGTCAGTGAACTTGAGCTTTTGGTTCCAATGCTAATTGCATTGCGACGATTACAGCATAGTGTTCATGTATCTGTGTCTCTTCTGCTCTCTCTATCTGTGTGTGTGCGTGTGTGTGTGTGTGATATTACCCAATACTCATACGACCCGTCGCACAGTTTTTGTTGTTTTTCTTTTTTGTGTGCCATTTTTTCCCCGCTCCCGTTCTTGTTTTTCCTGTCATCTATTTCTATTTCGCTTTCTTTCCATTTTGTTCCGCCTTTTTGCAAAGCTCTGACTTGTAATATTTTCTCTCTCCTTTGCTCTTTCTGGGTCTATCTGTCAGTCTGTCTCATTCTGTTTAAGCTGTCTGTTGCTTTAAACTTGACTTAATTAAATTTTTCACTGTTTTTGTTATTTTTATCTTTTGCCAATTGCTCATTGTTCATTGTTCATTGATTTATTTTTGCTAGACAGGCCCCAGTTTCTCTCTCTCTCTCTCTCTATCTCTTACTCTATCTATAAGTATAAGTCTTAAGTATATAGTTTATTTGTGTAATAATTTTTCAGTTTATAGGGTTAAAGGCCTCTCCATTTAACCGGTTCTCGAGCAGTTGATGTGTTTCTGGGAACTGTAATTGATTCTCGATAGGGCTTACTGAAACCGATTTCGGTGTTTGCCATTCCCCAAACTGTTGACGTCTGAGTGTTTTCCATCCATTAATAAATCAGCAGATGCAATGAGCAGTTCATCATCATTCAACCATCATCTTATTCTCATCAACTGATCATCATCTCCACCTCATCATTGATCATTATCTTAAGGACTTTGTCTGTGGAGTATGCTTCATATGAAATTCAAGTTGTTGCCATCTGAGATTGTGTGTGTGTGTGAGAGCATTTTCTTTCGCTTTATAAAAATTACAACAAATCATTTGTGATGATTTTTTTTGAGTTGTCAATCAATTGCTTATCTCATCATATCAACCAGAAATGTCTACTTGCTCAAACGGAAATCAAGTATACGCCCCGCCAAACCGCAAATAATACGCGTACCATCCAAAGCTGGAATATTATTTAAGAATATGTCGTTACTCGGGAGTATTGTGTCATATGCAATGTGGGACGATGGAACCCTGATGTCTGATGTCGAAGTTGAATCAACTGAAACGTTTCCCTTTTGTTTATAGTTTTTTTAGTTGTCAATTGAAGTGCTTTTCGCTAAGGGAGAGAGAGAGAGAGAGTGCGAGACTGGTGTGTGACTGCCGCATGATCGCACACAGCTGCACACGAAATGCACACGCGCACTCACACTCCCGTGCCACTCACAGATACTCTCCTCAGGCCGTAGTCAAACGCTGACGATGACGTTTAAAAGACGCCAGCCGCGCGACGCGAGCCCAGACCCGAGACTTGTCAGCCAACAAGTAAAAAATAACAAATTAAAAACGCATCAGGTGTCGCGACTACGGGGATACCTACAATTTAAATTTAGTGAAACTTTGACGTAGTAAAAAGAGAAAATTAAAGTCCTACACTTCCCCCAAGGAATGTTGCTCTAGAACTATAATTTATTCCGTGTTCTAGCTGAAGTTCCAGATGTTTGATCAACAATCGATGTAGCTTCCTCTGCATTTCTCCCAAAGACCATGCATACCCTGCAACACGACGAATGGCGGGAATATAAACGCGACTTTGACAATGAAAAAACGCCACTACAAATGTGCATACACTCGTATGGATCGTATCAATGTTTGAATATATATATGTTGATACATGTGTATGAATGTATCTATAATAATAGACAAAGCCTGGTAGATTCAGCGGACCCAGGTCTCTAGTGCCCTTCCTCTCTGTTGCTAGATAATTTCGATGATAACTTTTGGTTGAATGCACTTTCGTTTACAATAGTTCTCTCTGTGTTCTCCGTACTCCTCCAATGCAGCCTTATCTCATCTTTTGGCCAGCGCACTTCTCTAATAGATTTCTGCTTGCTGCCTTCTGGGTTTGCGTTTGTTTTACATTTGCATTGCATTTTCTTTTCGGTTTTTATTTCACTTCACTTTTATGGCGCACACACTCCACACCATTTTGTGGCATTTTCTGGCAGCTGATTTGTTGGTTTAGCTAACTGGCGGATCTGGTGTACAACTTTTGGTAATTAGTAGCGAAATTAATTAATGGGTTTATATTTTAGGCGAACTGCACTTTGGGCTCCCCTGGTTTACCCTTTTTTATGGCGTCATTTTTGCTATCGACTTTAATAGTTTTTCAGTTGACGATTGAAGGGGGTTTTTTTTCCATCTGAATTTTTTTTGCCAATCACATGGTTTTTTTTTGAAGACTAAATAATATTTTTACGTAAAATTTAGGTATAATTTAATTTTTTTTTATATCTGTTTTATTTATTTTATTTTAATTTTATATCTCAACTTTGAATTGTGTTGCCAATCACTTGTATATTTTTTTAGACAATTATATTTTTACACTAAATTTCGGTAACATTTTTACTTTTCCACAATTGTTCTTAAGAGGAAACAAAAAAGTTTCAATGAAAATATTCGGAGTATTATTCCAAATTTTATTTCCCTTAAATTTCCACTTTTCTTAAGACTCTTCTTCGCTGTCGATCACTTCTCACCTTTAGCGAATTATTTCATATTTATTTACGGTCATTATTACAGCACTTTATAAATGATTTAATAAATTACATAATATTTGTACTTTTGCCCGCTTTTCAAATGTTTTTTTACATTTCTGCATACGTTTTAATTCATTGTTGAATTCTTTTTCGGGCATTATCAGCATAAAAATGTGAAATTCCTGAGAAGCGCTAGGCGCGGGGGGAGGGGACAAACTACAGAAACGGTAACCGAAAATGGGGGGAACAGAACCCAAAAAAAAAAAAAAACAAAACCAAAACCAAAAACCGAGCTGCAGCACGAGAGGCGACCACGTCAAAAGCGTGTAATTTGCGATCAAGTTACAGACATACGAAAAGAGAGCAAAGAGAGAACCAAAGCCAATGCTTAATCCAGAGCAAGAGATCCAGAGACAATACACGACGACGACGACATACGTCAGACGCTGCTTAATCGCATAAATACATGTAATATAAAAAAAATATTGTGGGCAAAGCACGCTTCAAAAATAAATATAAACCGAACCGAACCGGGCGAATCGGAAACCTTCGCCGGCTCCGAGAGACCGTGTATTCAGGCGGGTTGTCGCTGCGCGTGTTAGAATCGAACTGCACGTCGGAACGGCGGTACGGGAACTGCAGTTTCTAAGCTCCACAGAGCCAGAACTCAGAACCAGGAAAAATACACACAAAAACGGGACAGGCAGAAAAACTACCAGTGGATAAACGAAAACTGCGAAATGCAACGAAATTCGAGAGGCTCCCAAGCCAAAAGAAACGTTCTCGCACACACACATACACACACAAGGCGAATGAGTGTGACTGTGAGAGCGGGAGAGACCTGAGAAACTTGAGCGACTTTGCCGGTCGGGGCGTATACGCGATATATTCCGAGCGCTACCTGAATGACCGACTGACTGATTGGCGAGCGCCCCTGCCGTGCTATTATTTAATACCGCATTCCACTCGGAGTCGGTTGCTGTCTCTCCCCCAGAACCCACTCAACGACAATGCACTTCACATTTGCCGATCGTGAGTCCGGATTGAGTTGAGTTTTTACACGTATCGTGGCTCTCTCTCTCTCCCCATCTCTCTCTCTCGGGGATAACTGTAAGCGCATGCAGAGGGGTTGTTTAACGTTCTCTCTAGTGTGATATTTAGTTTTCTTTCAACCTTTTTGTTTGTTTGTTGTCTGATATTCCCCATAGATTCCTGGTGTGCGCTTCTGGTATGCATTTGGAGATTATATGGGGGGGGACGTTCTTCAAGCATGAAAAAGCTGTTTTGTTTGCTATTGATTTAAGTTCAAGGTCTGTCCCAGAGGTTCTTGGCATAGGTTCGGGGTAGCCCTCTATTTGTAGATGAAATTAAAACCCTAAGGAAAAGATCTCCTCTTGAATTATGGTTTAGTTGCTTAGCAACTAGTCCACCTTTTTAGACTAAAGGAAGCTTCTGCGAATGCCCTAAATTCTAGAATTCTAGCAGTCAGATTTTATCGTTCTTCTAGCAGAACTTTCGATGAGTTTTTACGTACCAGAGAAAATCATTCCATAGCTACCATTACAATTTTAGATGACATATGTATGGTAAAGGGTATCCATGGACTAGCGTGGTTCGGCATTTATATTTTGCACATTTCATGCGTACGCAAATTTCACCTATGAATATTTCATAAGTAAAAAAAAAAGATTTGAGTTCCTGACAACTCTAGTCATACGACCCAGCAGTTTCCCCAAGGAAACCGAAATCTCCCGCTAACCTGACAGGCCCAGCAGCAGCATATCAACGTATCAATTCCGATTCCTATGCGTTTCAGTTGCCTAATACTTGTAACCGTACTCCTAGAGTACATGGGTACTAGAACACTGGAAATTGGATATTTATCAGATGCTTACGTAACACTGCAGCGAATTTACAAATTATTCTGTGTGTTTCGATTTGAAAGTTTTATCGAGTTCTTATGCAATGGACAGGATATATATGTAGGCCTATGCAAATATCGAGAGGTGCAGCACAACCGCTAGGTGCTAACGTTATATCTGAAGTTCAGTTTTTTCTGTTTGACCCAGATTTTCCACAGACTTTGAGCAAAGTTTTGCTCTTAAGAACAGAAGTTTTGATCATAAAGACTATTTCAGAAGACCCTTTACAAGGGTATGCCTCTCAAGGAAATCAGTTCTGACATTTTATGTTAAATCCCTTTTGCCTTCTTTAATAATCCCTCAAAGTTTCCCAAAATAAAAACTTTTTTTGAAATTTGTTTTTCCTTTTATGAATTTGTTGTCCACTTTTATTTTACATCATTATTAAATTAGGAAGTACCAGTAAAAAAAATGTATTTAGCACAAAAAACAGAGAAAAAAGTGTTGCAGATTTAATCTTAAGCAATTTTTACAAAATTTCGAATATTTTAGACACAAAAAAATGTTGTCATAAATGTTGGGGGGGGGGGGTTTTGTTTTCTTACGTTTGAGGGGTATGGTATCCATTTATATGTTTAGTTGCTAAACTTAAATACAAAATGATCTTTAATTTAGATGTGTATACTCGTATATTTGTTGTACAAAATTACATAAATATTTTTAGTTGACAAAAGTTGGTATTTTTCGTTTTTCATTTTTGTTTTTGTGTTGAGCGGAAAATTAAATTCGTGTTCTATCGCTAAAGTAGAGGAAATATACCATAAAATACATACATATATATACATATATGTATATATATAATTTAGAGATACTTTTACGTGGTAAGTATTACGAATAATAGAATATATACAGGGGATAAAGCAAATTGTTGTTTTTAAAATTGATTTGCTTTATAGAGAGAGTTTTGTTACAACAGAATAACCGAAAATGGGTAAGGGTTCGGGTTAGGGTTGAAACAAATTAGAAAGAAAAGATAGTCTGTAGCGTATAGGTTTTAAAGTCGTTTCTTCGATAGGAATGCGGGCTGTAGATACAAATACAGAATGAAGCAGTTAGCATATAGTCGAATATAGAATATACATATATATAAGCGTGTGTGTGTATATAGGTATCATTACTGTTGTCCTAAGAGCATAATCAAGAGAGAGAGAGAGAGAGAGAGAGAGAGTGAAAGAGTTATACAGAGAGAGAGATAGAGAGTGTGTGTGTGTGTGTGTGGGGAGTTTTACAAAGAAATTGAATTAATTTTTCTTGTGGCAACGAAAATACATAGTTTTAACTTTACAATCATTTGTTTCGTTTTCTTTTTGGGTTTTTCAACTAGTTTCTAGTTCGTATTTTATTTGTTGTATATAGTTTTTTTTTTTTTTAGATTTTAGATTTTAGTTTCGTTTTTTTTTTTTTTTAGGTATATCAAAAAAATATTGCAGATTGTCTTAGAGTTCCAGCCGCTTTATACAAAAAAAAACTAAATGATGAAAGAAGTTTACGATACTTTAACGTTTTAAAGTTCCTCCAATGTTTCGTTATTGGATGGTAGTTTCTTCTTGTTGTGTGTTTTTCTTTTCAGTGTATGTATGTTTGTTGGCCATTGAATTGTTGGTATTTTTAGGTATTTTCATTTAGTATTTAGTTAAAATTTGTGTATTTTGTTTTTGTAGAAACCATGAGTTTTTGTTTGTTTGTTTGTTAAAGATTATACAACACACAATACACAATTGATTTTCGACTTGTATCTCCTGCTATGGCAAACGTATCTGAAAGACTTGTGGAATGTGGTTTGTTGTTGTTGTTGTTGTTGTTTTTTGTCGAAGAGTACGATTAAAGTGGAGGACCGATTAAGGGTTTAGGGTGTATGGGTTTAAGCCAAAAGCAATCCTTTTGATTGTTTCACTGGGGTTTCAGGGAGGTTCAGGCTTTCTATACAGACTTGTGTACAGGATCTATACATCTATCGATTATGTTGCTGATCTAGTGATAATTTTGGTTCTTCTAAAGTTGTCTCGCTTTCGGTTTTGGCCCCTAGGATTAACATGTAACGACGAAATGGCTTTAGACACACAATTTACAATGTTCTAACTCTTAATCTTTCCTATAACTACACATATATATCTTATGCTTTAGCTTATATATGTATCTCTTGATTTCGAACTGCCCTAGAGGAGCAGCTCTTCGTCTGTGTGGGGTTCAGTGCTGGCGGCCTCCGCATAGAGGCAGCATTCATCTGCTGCTGCCGAGGCCGTGTCCTGCTCCTCGCAGTCCAGATCCAGGCCACTCAAGTCGTGCGGCTGCTGTGGCGACTGTGGCACCTGCTGGTGGTGATGATGATGATGGTGGTGGTGGTGGTGCTGCTGCTCCTGCTGTGGATGGCTGAGATCGTGCAGCAAGTCGAGCGTCTTTTCGATAGCTCTCAGCCGCTTCTCCAGCGAAGTGGTTGCCAGAATGTCCACCTATAAGAGCAAAGAGAAGTGGATTTAGTTGGTTAACGAACAAGAATGGTCTGGGTACCCACCTTGAGCTGCTGGGAGAGCGGCAGTAGGGCAATGATCCACCAGGCCCAGGCGGGGCCATCGCTGATCAGCTCCCAATTCATCTCGAGCGCAGGCATCTGGCCATAGCTCTGGAGGATCTCGTGCTTCTGATCGGTGCTGAGGCTCTCGAACCAGCCGATTGCCTTGGCCAGCACGAGGCCCTGCATGCTGGCCAGCGTCTTGACCTGCTCCTCGGCAATGGGCTCATCGCATATGTACTCCACCTTGGCCGTCTCATAGCCGTCCTTCTCGTTGCGCGCTAGGATCTTGAAGCGCTTGCACCCGATGGTGCTGAGGATCGAGCGGCCGTCGCTCAGCTGGACGCAGTCGCGGATGTCCAGGATGGTGCCGACGTCATAGTAGCGCGACTTGCTGCTATTCGGCTGTACAATGCCGAAGGTCTTGTCACCGGACTCGACGGCACGCCGCACCATCAGGCGGTAGCGTGGCTCGCAGACGAACAGGGGACAGGGCACTGCCGGGAAGGCAGCGGTGCAAATAAAAACGGGCACCGAGGGCTCCTCGTCGATCTCCTGGCGGAAGCGCGCCTCGTAGTGGTCTGGAATGAATCGTTTCATTGCGGCTTCTAGGAATTTGGTGACTGGCCGCTTGGCCAGCGCAAAGGGTACTGGCGAGGATGAGCCCTGATACAGATTGCTGTGTGTTTGACTTTGACTGGCACTGGCACTGGCATTGGAACTGGCACTGGCACTGGCATTGACATTGAATTCCACAAGTGGCGACAAGCACAATGGACAGGAGGTTTTGTAATCCATGCAACGATCCAAGCATACCAGACAGTAGGTGTGGCCGCAGGGCGTCACCACCGGCCTCCACAGCGTGTGGCCGCACAGGACGCAGTCAAAGTCGCTGGCATCGATCAGCAGTCGATCGGTCACTGCCGTCACCGCCTGCGCCTGCAGCGATCCTTCCAGTTCTGCATGGAAAAATGGCGTATCAGACAGAGCTCTCCGTGTATTAGTATTTCCCCCATTTTACTCACTTTTCAGTCGCTGCAGCTCCTGCTGGGTGCGCTCCAGCACGCTGGCAAACAGTCGACTACACCTGCGACTCTCTTCCGCCTGCGTTGCCGCATGATCCACATGTTCCACACGATGATCTTCGTGATCGGCTCCGCCTCCGAGCGGCTCCATGGCCGCTGACCATTTCCGCTTGCAGTGCTTCCTGTTGCCGTGGCGACGCGGCTGCAGATCGAACTGCTTCTGCTCGTACACGTGCCGCTGATGGCGATGGTGGTCCATAAAGTCCAGGGCACTGGGGAACAGAAAGTCCCCGTCCATGTGCATGGCACTCGGATCCCTGCCCTCCATCAGCGAGGGATTCTCGACCTCCTCCTCCTCGTCGTCGTCCATCTCGTCCCCAGCCATGATATAGTTGTCGTAGTGGCCGAACTCGTCCTCCACATCGTCCAGATGCACATGATGGTGGTGGTGGTGCAGGTGATGATGGTGGAGCAGCTGTTTCCTGCGGCGTCGCACCTGCTCCCACAGCAACGGATAGGGCGGTCGGCTGGTGGCATAGCTGCGGACCACCGGCGGTGGCGCCGCCTGACCGATCGTCACTCGATTCTTGGGCATTTGGGCCAGGAGACGTTGCAGTATCTAAACGATATTAATCCATTAGTTTATTGTTTGAATCGATGGCTAAGCTCTGTATATCTGTATCTGCATACCTTGGCGAGATCATGTTGAAATATTTCCGAATTGCTGAGATTTGTATTCTTGTCGAGGCAAATGGCCAAAAAGCCATTGTACAGGGCATCCTCCAGTCGACCCAGACCACTCAGAGCCAACGCCCGCAAATAGTGTGCCTGTGGATCATAAAGTATATCAATCATATTATATATATTATATATCTTTTGTGGTGTTTCCTCTCACCTTGGGCGATGTGCAGCGCGTCCTCAGCGCATTCTCAATGTCCGCCAGCGAACTCTGATAGTGATTCAGCTTGAGGAGCACTTCCGCTCGCAGACAGAGGCTCTTGAAGTTCGTGGGTGCTGCAAAACATAACAGAAGAGAAGATCTCGTTAAAACAGATGATAATTGAATGTATAGCTAGACATATGTAGACATGTAAAATTGTGTAAATCATTCAATTAGTGTCGCTTTCTGTCAAATTGTGGCATCTTGAGATCACTCGCCATGGAGCAGATCTCTTGCCAAAGTGATTTTTGGCTGCCAATAGTTTTGGGAGATCGAGAGATCGGGGGAAAATGTTCAACACGCGCGCCAACACAACAATTAGCCGTCGTCGTCTGTCGCACATTCTGCCGCTTTACATGTGTCCCGTCACAAGTGTCGGCGCTGACAGCAGCAGCGGCCATAAACAGAGGCGCCACTTTGCAGATTGCTCTCCTCTCCTATGCATTGCCATTTAATGGCAGGATGGCAGCGTATGGGTGGGGACAAAAGCGCCAAATTGTCTTATCTCTGAGCTCATCAACGATGACGAATTTAGTCTGTCATTGACCGCCCCCGCTTGTGCATATAATATTAAGTTTTGTGATAAGCCAAGGGACTGTAATGAGGGAAAAGAGTTCTGAGATGATACTGAACAGCGAGTAAAGTGGGTGGAGCGGAAGGGGGAAGGTGCTTAGTTGCATTGGCTGCCAGAAATGGGTCGGAAGTCCCCCTCCAGCTCCATTCTGCCATTGCACAGTTCCAGCAGAGGAAAGAGAGAGAGAGAGATCCCTTCCAGTTAAGATCACCGTCCCAGCTTCTGCCCACTTGCCTGGTTGACTCAGCACAGTCGTCTGATCGCCCGAGCGATAAGGTGCAAAAAGTGCAAAGAATACTCCTCTCTTCATCTACTTTCTCTCATCCTCTCATCCGCTCTTGATGACTCATTGAAGAACAGACACACGTGAGATAGTGCCACATAATGCTCGCCGAACATTGACCATCGATGAATGCTATACGAAATGGAAATCAAGAAGGCACACCAACAACAACAACAACAACCAAAACCAAATAACTAAATGGAACGGAAAGTCATTGCTGCTTGTTTAGCTGGAAGGGGAGGAGTGTGGGGGGGGGGCCTATTCCTAGGTCAGCACCTGCCTGCCGCCATGCATTCGCTGTGGGCTCCCCGCTCTGAGGCGGCGTCCCCACTACGTCACGTAGGCCACTTGTGGACAGCGGCGCCATAAAGCTGTAACAGAGGGGCAGCACCGAAGAGCGTTTAAAAGTGAGAGGCGCTCTTAAGGGTATGGCATGTGTACAGTGTGTGCTCTTTCTCTCTGCTAACAGTGGACTCTCTTCGGCGTCGCTCTCTCTCTCTCTCTCTTCGATTTATGCTCTTTAGCTGCTGCTGTGCTCTTCCACTGTTAACCGTTAAGAGATTCTTTGAGCGCGCAGCTGCTGTTAACAAGGCGAGAAAAAACGCGATTATGTAGCCTAACATTACGCAACATAAAAAGGCGCAACCAGCAGCAGGCGGCAGCAGCAGCGGTAGCTGGTGGCGACAGTGACAGCGACGACCCAGGCAGCGCAGTCGTTGTCGATATAATATCGAGGGGGGGGCCCTATAACAGATATCGTGTAATGGCTGTTGCTGCTGTTGTTGTTGTTGGGTGTTGCAATTGTTATACAAATTGTTGCAAAAACGATTACATCGACAAATACTCGACGGCTGCTGACATCCCCCCCGCAGGGAAAATGCTCATCGCAGACAGCCTTCCCTCTCACCTTCCCCCTGTGGAGATGTATAATAATAATTTGCATTTTCCCCCATATTTGTCGCAACATTTGATTACCACCAAAAATCGTGTTGTTGATTATGTAAAATGTCTCTCAAATTATTAGCTTCTTGTGTTTATGTGTTTCAGTTTTGTTTTTTGTTGTTGTTTTTGTTTTGGGTTCCTAAAATATGCCACAGAGATAACGGCTCCATAACCCCATGGGTTTGTTTGAGAGATAAGCCTGCCTGCGGGCCCCCCCCTGCCGCTGCCCTCTGTCCCTCTGCTGGTGGTGGATTTAACAGTTATGTGAATGGGATAAGGTGCCAAACATAGCGGCGAAGATAACCGGATGGATGGGGTGGTAATGTTGTTTTGCCTGGTTTATTCTTTGAAATTGTAAGATAAGATCCATTTTCTTTTAGCATCATTATCTAACTGTTTTCCGAAGACTGTTTTTATTAATGGAAATTAAGTGTAGAAAGGTGGAAAATGCTGAAGTTTTAAGTGTAGAAAATATCTGGGAAATTAGTTCACAACTCAGAGAAATCGGATAATGCTGAATTGTAATTGAACTTCTAGTAATTCCGTTATATTCCCAACATTAGATGTTATTACACAATAATACTGGTAAGTGTTATTGCATTGCAGTCTCAATTCCAATCGAGAGTCGTATCAGTGTATCAGGCTATCTATCCCCTGTAACTACATACATATGTACATATATGCATATGTATATAATATGCATACTAATTATATTTATGTGCTTATTATATCATGGCCGAAGGCGACGAGCCGGCCACGTTCTCCACTTCCCGTTCGATATGCCAGGTGTGTGTGTGTGTGTGTGTTTGTTTGTATGCCTGTGTATCCATCAGATACTTCTACTTGCAGTCGTGTAAAAACAAAAAAAAACAAAAACAAAAAAAAACGTACAAAAATTCAATTAAAATGCAAAGCCGTACGCTGATGGCTGGCTGTCGTTTAGTCGTTGTTTGTGTGTGTGTGTGTGTGTGGTTTTTGTTGTTGCTACCAATTTGCACTTATTAGAGAATTTTACGCTCTACGTAACCCCTGCCACTGCCCACTGTGCCCCCGCATATTGCCCCCCTCCCTTCTCTCCTAATCCGAAAAGGCAGGCATCTTCCACGCGGGGCCCGCAAGTTTCCGTAACGCTGCAGACAATTTAAACCCAACTGTTGATAAATTGCATTTGGCTTCAGATACCGCTATATATGTATCTTTATCTGTATATTTATATGTGTATCTTTGCCACTGGTACTGGCACTGGCACTGGCTCTGGCGTGTGTGCATTCAAAATCAGATTTCGTCACGTACATTAAAAAAAAAAAACCCCAAAGAAATTAATATTAAAGAGAGAGCAAATCTGAATTTTCTTGGCGCGTAATCGCAGCTGGCGACATTGTGGGTTCGTGGGGTGGGGGCAATGAGGAAACGGCAATTGCATAATGAACACAGAAATTAGAAGAAATCTTAGAATTTCATTTTGTAGTTTGATTTCCGCAATGGCAAAGGCAATGGCGAAAGGTATTACAAAAGCATTTCAATCTCAAGGTGTTTTTGATACGTGAATCATTTTCTATTTATTTTCAAATGTGAGCGCAACAATTTAATGAACATAGAATGTGAGTGAGTGGGTTCTTTCAGACTCAATTCAGTTGTGCTTTAAAGTCGTTAAACAATTTGCTAAAAATAGATACATTGCGTATGCGCCGCATGGTCCAGGCTTTGATTGAGAGACACACACACACACACACACGCACACGCACGCAAACACATGCACACAGAATTATGTAAAAGCTAGAAGAAAGAAAGAGAAAGAGAGAACACACAGATAGAAAGGGAGAGGGGCTGCAAAAACTGACCTAAATACCAAATGAATGCCCATAAAACTGCGTCAAGTGAAACGCGAAACGAGCTGCTATAAAACGGAACAGCAAGCAGCACACAAAAAAACATGGCAAAACTTTATGCGACACCCCAACAGAGCAACAGAGCGACCCCCCCACACTGCTGACTGTGCCCCAAACCATTTGGAAAATTTACCATTTTTGATGTCTATCATGTAGAATATCACATCCACACGCCATGGATAAATGAAATGCAAGGGAGAGTCCGCTCTGGGCCTGGGTCCGCTGTCTCATAAAATATGACCATTATGCAGATGAAGCTAATTGTGCAGAGTCATGGCTTTACGACTCTCATTCTCGTAAAGTTCGTTTCTTTCGCACAGTTCTTAATGTCTCAAATAAATGTGGAACATTTAGGGAAATGATTGAATCTACAATAAATGCAAAACTTTTTGTATTTTTTACCGGATATACATATATATTTATTTCTTATGGCAGAAAATTAGTGCCTTAGTTTTCCACTTCAATTAAAATAATTTCAAGAATAATTTCTTTAAATTTAGTCCGACAAACAGATGAATTAATTGCTTTAGAAACAGTCTCTTAATTTCGCCCCTTAATTTCGAATATATTTCAGAGCTTTTATTCGGCCTTAGATTTCCTTGATAGCAAAAGATTTTCATTTGCCAAATTTCTTGCTAAGTGTCTGGCCGCTCTAGCCGCTCAGCCGCTCTGCTGCTCGCCTGGCCATTATGCCTGTCTGAAAAATCTTGTTGACGGAAATGTGAAATGCATGAAAATCATATAAAATTCATTATTTACTTTCAGGAAGTGATGGCGGCACTCCTCCCCCATCCCCATTCCCATCCACATCTCATTTGCAGTCGCTTTGTTTTTACTGCTTTTGCGATTTGACGCTAAATTTCCGCGAGAGAATTTCTCGGGAAAAAAAGAACAGAACAGAATAGAATGCATTTTCATACTTTATGACGAAACTTTATGAGGCCAAATGACAGACAATTGTTCTGTAAATTATTCAAATATTCTTTTTAATGTACAATATTTTTTGTTATAATTCGTTTGCTCGGTTCTTGGAAGCCAAATGCCACAAATTTTAATTTTTGCATCTCAATGAGGGCGTGGCCCACACGACGTATACGTTATCTTTCGTGGATTTCTGATTGTTTTTTTGGTTGTATTTAAATTGGGCGAATTTTTTTGTCGCCAAAAATTTCTTTGGTTTTGCTTTGCCTCAAAAACTTCTGCAAATTGAATCAAATTTGAAAGAATCTTCAGCTCTAATTTTTTTTGTGTGGGGGTTTTGTCTTTCTCCCGTTGCGTCATGTGGGCGTTCTCCACATCCATACCCCCCCCTCCCCGCTTCTATCTGCTAAATGTCAAGCCGCCCATAAAACAGCAGCATACCGACAAAACAACCAAAAAATTGTT